ACACTAAAAACACACATCATATGACCTTTTTCTCTCTCAGGTTTTATTCTCCAACATCGAGGAGATCCTGGCCGTTCACAAAGACTTTCTCTCCATGGTGGAAGAGCTGCTGCAGCCTGACCCTCATGCTCACCATGAAATCGGGCGCTGCTTCTTGCACTTTGTAAGTAACACATGCGACCGCCACCACTTAATGCTTCCTCTATTGCAAGTTGAAAGTTACCATTGCCATCTTTAATCATCATTTTACCATCTTGTCCAAGCTCTTATAGTTCCGTCGCGTCAACGTAAGCTCTGTTTGCAGTAAACGTTTGTTCATCGAAAGAATTTCTCTCCTGCTTTACTATCAGAGCTCGAATGCAGTTATGCCTCTTGAGTACTGCTGAAAATGACAAGATACACCACATGCTGTCGATTCATCTTTCTGGATTACCCATGATGAGAGATTGCACATGTGCGATATGCTTGATACGGTTCTGATATACTGCTCACCCCTTGCTATATATCACATTTCTTTGATGGTGAGCCTGGAGGCACACTGGCATATACTAATAGGTTTCAAAGTCGAATAAATCTTAGCATCCTTCTGTTGGGCTGAAAGCGACTCCTCTGCCAGTAGGGTGCTGATGAAACAGGTGAAAGAGAGAGAGAGAGAGAGAGAGATGACCTCATTGAGAAAATGGGATGTAATTCACAGCATAACTGAAAACACATGACCATAATTCAGTCATGAGTGACCATGTGAGTCCATTGAGATAAGATTTGGACATTTTCGTTCTATGCAGTTTTTTTTTCCTCCTCAAAATGACTTTCTCAGCAGTGATATATAATGTTGATGCTCTAAAAGTTCCAGGAAAGAATTACCCAATCTAACTTTACTACAGAAACACAAATAGGTAAGTAAGCCAGCTGGACAATGGGCCGCTCAAATCAAAATCCCTCAGGCCTGCAAAATTGCTTCTTGCTGACTTAAGACTTCCCAGGGCCAAAACATTACATATTTTGGAGGTTTGTAAACTGACCTATTAGAAAACACGATTCAACAAGAAGAGCATACTCTACGGGTAATGAAAACGATTTGTATTTGCAAGTTGTTGTCGTTGTTAAGACAGCCGTGTCTCTTCACAACAGCAGCTTTGTCTTTCTGAGGCAGAGTCGCATGGCTGAAGACCGTGCGCTATTTTTGCAGCTCTGTAGTGACTTCGTAGTAGAGTGATTTAAAGGCTGTTCGGTCTGGTCCCACTGCTGCCTCTCAAAGACAATAGAGTATGAATGTCATGAGAACGGCTGTGGTGGAAAGTTGTCGGCAATATGGCTGCAAGGCAGATGGATACGATTGGAACCCCCCCACACACACACACACATGATATACATTATTTATTTCATGACGGAGAGGAGAGTATGGGGAAGAATTCATACCTGCAATGAGTCCTGTAATTCACATGTCTGCTCTGTGGTCTGTTTTTGCCTTGTTTTCTCTCATTGTTTTTAGTTTTACTGTCTTCTGTGTTGCCCTATCTGGGTTAAATTATTTCTTGACACCCTCCTCTCGTTTTCCCATTTTCTGCTCGACTTTGTCGCCCCTTTTTTCTCCTTCTTTCTTCCTGTCTGCAATTTGTTCCTTTTACTCACGCTGTCCTTCTCGCCTCGTCTTTCTCCATCTCTTGCAGAGGAGTCGTTTCCAGATCTATGATGAATACGGTGGGAATCACGAGAAGGCCCAGAGGCTGCTGCTGGAGCTCAATAAGATCAGGAGCGTTCGGACATGTTTACTGGTGAGAAGATCAAACCTGCCCTTGAGAACAGCTCACATATGAAAACACACCGCCTCAATCTCTTAGACATACAAACACATAGTCACCCACACATTGTTGACAGTGTAAAACCCTGTACTTAATGTTCCAGTGTGTCTGACAGCTGATGTGACTCTGCCCCTTGTGTAGGGGCGGACTCCCTCTCTCGACACTGAGAGCATTTCACTTCCACAGGGGAGCATCATGTTGCTAGAAAAAAAGATGACTATATCCCCCCTGCCGGCCGCAAACTGTGTGTTTGAGGTCAAAACATTCGCTCTTTTTCCTTTTTCATTGCCTTTCACAGCTCTTCACGTGATGCTGTTTAGTCTTTTGTACCCTTGTTCAGACGGTTCACTTTTTACTCTTTGACAGCGTGTAATGCTGGTCCTCCTCGCTCCTTACTCCTTTACCTCGGAGCGGCACACACTTGTATCATAACACGCCATCGCCCCTTGTGTTTTAAGACTTCCATCAATAAAGTCTACAGCAGAGTTACACAACCAGAAGAACCACAGTATGACCACAGACTTTGGTGTATTGATTGGCCTGTTCTTTGGAGAAGCATATGACCATCTGGTAAAACTGTAATTGATGGAGTAAGAAATAAAACACACATATGCACACACTAAACACACCATCAAAGAGGCTGCCTGCAAGAGTTCTGTGTCTGATTTACTATTCATGAGTGCCTTTAATCTAGGAAGCCAGATGAGGTAAAGCTATTAATTGACTTTGATTTAAGTGGTGCCTTTATAGCCTTGACCTCTTGGTGACCTAACCTTCCATAAGGTTCTTGTGTTACCTTCAGAACCTACACTTAGCTATGGCCTAATATACCTCAGGTCACCTCCTCAGCCTTGCAATGACCAGGGAGAGGATATCTGCTAACCTCCACTAAACCTTTGGCCAACTGGCGGCCATAAAGCCTGGTTTATTGTTTACGCTGTAATCCGGCACCTCGTTGATATTTCAGGTGAGAGGGAGGTGAGAGTGAATATTAGGCAGTTGACCCCATAACCTGTGTCCTACCACATGAAGGTAAGTTGTCCCATTGGTCGACTGAAGGCAAAGATTATCTCTTAGTTTATGATCTAAATTTAGGGATGTCCATGTTGGGTCGGTCCACCACTTTTGTCGAGACATATTTGAACATATCTGAACAATATGCTAAAGTCAGATGGTGGTAGTGGTGATAACCAATGATGAAAAATGTTTAAACTGTACATGACAATAAATGGCAACCACTTCGACACATTATTACCACTTCATGCCTAAATATCTATTTCTTGCATCTCCCTTGGTAGATATTATAAAATCTCACAAGTGAGTCAGCGCGATGACCTTTCTGTTTACAACAACCTCACCAGGGCTCGACACTGACTTTCAAATGTGCTTGCCGAAACTGAAGATATGGTTGCCATTTTAGTCACTTTATATTTTTGAGTAATTAAGATACTATGCAGTTATACGACAGCTAAATGAAACACAAAAGAATAAAAGCTTGAGTCTCACATACAGCTGGAGACGCATACGTTTTGCTGTGTGCTGGCCATATTTTTCACATGTTAAAAAGTGGTTGCCAATGATGGCAACCAAAGGCCAATAATTGCTCAAAAAACTATTAAATACTGCTGATGCTACTGATAAACCTATTTTCTATTTGTTTCCAAAGACCTTTATTCTTCCACGCTGTCAAATTATTACATTTAATTCACTATGATTCTTAAAATCAAGAACAAATGTGGGTTTTCTTTACAATGAGCATTACAGAGTCAAAGAGCTGCTAGCTCCCGCCTTGTTAAACCTTCTCTCCTCTCCTGCAGAACTGCATGTTGCTGGGAGGCAGAAAGAACACGGAGGTCCCACTGGAGGGTTACCTGGTAGCTCCTATACAGAGGATCTGCAAGTACCCATTGCTGCTCAGAGTGAGTATGGTCTTGTGCACGCTAACCCTGTATTATAGAGATACCACACCCTTGTACCACCTCTGTAGTGCACCTTCTACTCCTCGTTTCACTCACCACCATAGTCATTAGTTAGGGCTGTCTCGTCCTATTCACATCAACCTCTCCCTCGCTAATGAAACACCGGTCTCATATTCCGACACGTCTGCTCTCTGCTTTAGTTCCCCAGCGCGGCCACATCGTAGAAATAACACAAGACCTATCATCACCTCCCCTACCCAGCTGTGCATTCGGACACTTTGACTGGGCGCATTCATGGGTGCACTCTCAGTTGTTAGTTCTGAAATTTCCCTTTCCCGACGTGAAACGTGAGCGAAATTAAATACACTTTCAAAGTCTTGTTTGAGTGTGTGATGTGAGCTCTCCCATCTCATTCGTCTTGTTATGAGCTATTAATTCACCCAGGCGTTCTGTAAACAGCCACCAGCGCGGGCACAGAGATGTAGTAGTAGTAATAATAATAAGGGGGTAATCTGATACTCTGCCATTTGAAGTCTTCCAGCTGCCAGGGCCTCCCGCTCTGAAATGACATAGATAGCCATCGCTGGCTGCAGATATATCCAGAACAGTGTAAGTCTGCGCTATAGTAGCTGACATACTGAAAGACGGTGCTTAGACTATAGATCCGGAGATTGCCATTGCTTTTGCTAGACCGTGGCATACAGTAGGAGGGGTTTTAACCACCTAACTCAGGAACTACTGGAAGGTAAGCACTTGTGGAGTGTGAAGGAAATTGAACATATTTTTCTTTCATTCTTTTCATGTGTAAATATGTTTAATAGTTAGATTTGCCACAAATTAGATATTAAAGTAGTGTAGGTGCAATAATGGCACTGTGTTATCATGTTATCTGTTATCATGTAACTAGCTTTTCATGTGAGACTTTTTTGTGCTATTTGCATATGCAGGAGCTGCTGAAAAGGACCCCTAAGAAGCACAATGACTACGCCCTGGTGCAGGAGTCTCTGCAGGTGATGAAGGCTGTGTGCTCCAGCATCAACGAAGCCAAGAGACAGATGGAGAAGCTGGAGATTTTGGAGGAATGGCAGTACCATATCGAGGGCTGGGAGGTGGGCCTCAACTTAACTGTGTGCACTGTGTTGAATGATTTAATCTCACCCGGTAAATGAAATAGAAATGGCTGCACTGACTGTCTTGCTGTGTAGTCAGAGATGGCTTGTGGGTTTTTCATTTATTAAAACATGGCTGAGCTTCCCCCCCCCCCCCGTCAAAGCTCAAAGTCATGACATATTTAAAGCCACTTAGCCCTTTGCCAGCAATGCAACAAGAATTCCAAGCGGCGTGACTTTTGTCAGCCTTTTAAGCTTTCTTGTTCTCTCTGGGAACAATGACTTGTTTTCACAATGGTCAAATTCTTTTCGCCTGGATGAGCCTGCAGTTAAAGCCGTCACGCTTTAAGGGTCACCAATTCAATCATCGTCAGGTCGACGGAACTTCTTGGTGTGGACGGTTTGCCTTTAGATTAGTTTTCTTCCTGCGTTCTGGGATGCCTTAATAATAGGTCAGTTGGCCTAGTGGTGGTTGGAAAGAGAAATCTGTGGTTAGGTTTCTGTGAATGTGTTGTTTTAGTATTAGCAAGGCATTTAGAAAGGCTTTTAGTATGTTATTGTTTGCTTCATAGTAAAATATACTGCAGGAACAAAAATAGTTGGGCAATGTTTATGACAAAAACAGAAATCCACGGTTTGTAATGGATTTAGGACAATATATTTTTTGAGAAATACTCTCAACATCACAAAATAAGTACGACTATGTGTACTGTATACATACAAAAACACACACAAAGAGTATCTTGCACTCGACATGGTCCCGGTTGAAGCTACTCTCCGTTTTTCCTTCAGCACTTTTTTATCAATGGTAAACATTAGCCCACTCTGGAACAGAATCCTCTGACTGCTGCACGGCAGGCTAAATGACACGGAACGAAGAAGAGCGGAGAGACGGCTGAGTGATGGTTGCGTCTTACATTTCTGTGTGGGTGTCTGAGGAATGATGGAGGGATGAGGAGTGATTGTGAGAGCCACTGTTTTTCCGTTCCTGCTCCTCCCGCCCGGGCTGAGTGCTTGTTAGCGCTGACCTGCTCCACAGCTGGCCGCCCTTGGGCCATCCTGGCAGGTTCACCTGGCGTGGGAGGGACAGGGCGATGGCCCGCAGTGGTCACCATTGTGACGACTGCCAGCATTTGTCAGGGCGGTGATTACAAGTTGGTTTGTGTTGCAAGTGTCTGTGTTTTGTCACTGTGTACCACAGAAATATGTTAATTTTAGAGCAGTGGGTAGTAGTGTCCAGTTGTGTTTCACTTCACGTTCTCTTCTCTTGTTTAAGTTTGGTTAGAGTTCTTAAAACTTACTTGCGTTGTGGTGCTTGATTTGGCTTCTTTTGTTTAACAAAATTCATTAACATTCTCTCCAGCCAATTGAAAAATACCACTTTAGAGTTTAATATACATTTTTCCACCACACTTTTTCCTTGATTACTGGAATATACTGCTTTGTCCCTCATTTTTTATCCATTTCTGCAGTTGTTATGTCTGGCTGTTGTCTGGCTATAAAAATAGAGGGTTGAAATTTAGATGAAACAGATGACTGAGGGTTTAAAGTGTTGCTTAAGCTTCTGAGTTTCTGTGGAGCTTTGGCTACACGAGTAGTGTTAAGAGTGATAGAAGAGTGCTGCAGAGAAATATACAAATCTAAAGAAGGCTGCAACAAAAGAAATATATGGACAGAGGGTTCCGTTCAAAGCGCATGAAACACAAATGGGCAGTGTCAGTACTTCCATTTGGGAAATGCAGCTCTATAGTTTGGACTACTGTGATGTTTCAGTTGGCCCCTTCAAGTGACCAGGACAAGTTTCCATGTTTGGTGAGCACACATTCACTGGCTGCAAATTAGTTTAACATCTGGTCATGAACTGGGGAGTTAAAAGGCTGCTGAAAGAGTGTGGAGGAAGGAATGAAAGAGATGACCGGGGAATCAATGGGAGGGGAAGAGAGTGAGGGATGATTGGCAGAAGGGACGAGGATAAAAAGGGCGAGGAGCGAAAGAAGGAAAAAGCGGGATAAGTTTTGGCCCACTGATGTCTCCAGCAGGAGGAAATGCTTAGCACATTTTCCGGCTCTGTGCACATGGGAGTTATTTTTAGCTCTGAAGGGCCGATCAAACGGTGGTGCATAAATTCCCAGAGCAGGCAAGGTAAGGGGAAAGACAGCACACTTTATCACTTGCAGCAGGAACCCCAACCAATGTGGTGACCAGGCGCGACAATGCAACACATGGTTTGACTGGACGGGATGTTATTCTATCGAAGCTATTAACGGCCGTGCATTTTAAAGTCCCACAGCAATCTGCTCCGAGGAAGCAGTGAGTGTTTTTACAGACCCCGAAGAGAGGGAACAGGAAAGGCTGGGCTTTGTAATCCCTCCTCCTGTTCAGTCACTATGTGTGAACATTGCATGGTATAGAATTCATTTTTAGAAACTTTCTCTTTCAGTTAAAAGATTCACATTAAAATGATTTGCTCGTTTAAATACCTTGTTTCCTGCATTTTCTCTGCGTCAATCTATGTCCAAGCATCTGTTTCACCCTCTTTTTTTTCCTGTTTGACCTCTTGCCCACATGTCTGTTTGCAGGGCTCCAACGTCACAGATACATGCACGGAGATGCTCATGCACGGCGTCCTCTTGAAGATTTCAGCTGGAAACATACAAGAGAGGATTTTCTTCCTGTTTGACAAGCTTCTGGTTTACTGCAAAAAGAAAAACAGGTGCCTTGACCCTCTGTTATTCATTATTCCACTGGCAAAATCCACAAATCAGAAGATGAATTTAAATTCTCATTACAGTGTATATTTATTTTAGAGACAGAATAAAAATATTGTTTATGCTAATTTAAAACTTCCCTCCGTCTGTGTACTCCTACAGAACATTATAACTTTATAAATAATTCACAAGTTCCTTTACTTTGTCAAAGAAAAGAGAGCAGTGCACTGTGAGAAGCATTTTACTTTTTTGTGAGGGAGTTGAAAGAAGTTATGCAGTAGAGGAGACACGTGACACAAGGATTTGGGATTTTTTTTTTTTTTTACTTGGATAAATGGCGACATGTGATAAGTCTAGGTATGGATATTAAACACCATCTGTGGACTCTTATTCTGGTAGATTTGTCTTTTCAGTGCAAGTTGAGTCAGGAAACTCTTGCTGATTGCTGACCATTGTTGTGCTTCTGCAGGCAGACACTGAGCTACAAATGCAGTTGCTAACAATAATGCTACATCCGTTGTGTTTGTTTTTTGGCAGGCCTTGTTTACACGCCAACCAAGTTGCCACCTGCTTTGGTTATTTTTGTTGTACTGCATGTGCTGTATAAAGTGTAGTGTCTGCAGGGAGTGCATTAAAGCAGATCCATTCATGACTAAATAAAGAACAAGCAAGAAAGAGAGTAAAAAGTTTGTTGCCCTGACCTTAAATTCAATAACTCATCTAAATTAGATGCATTTTCCTGACTTAATGTGGTTTAGTACACATAGACAAACATCAAATGATTATAATTAGCCTCTTGATTGAACTGCGAGTGATACTAATTACTCAGTAAGCAATAACATGACATGATTTGTTTGCTTCTCTCCATTGCAGGCGTTTAAAAAACAGCAAGACGGCAACAGAGGGTCCTCGCTACCTGTTCAGAGGGAGAATCAACACGGAGGTGATGGAGGTGGAAAATGTGGATGACGGCACGGGTGAGTGGTCCTGTGAAAAGAAACAAGAACATTTATTTTGGACGAATGGCTAGATTTTCTCCGTCTTTCGGATGCTCATTTCATATTCCAGCATTGCTGCGGTTTAAAGATATGCCATAATGACCCACACAGGAACCTTTACAACATGTGATTTTATACTTGGATTACCGATGGAAAAATACGATTTACCTATAAACAGTTTTTTAGACATCTATAGTTACATTTTCTTGGGAATGTGCTGCTGCTGGTACTTGGTGAACTCGAGCGCTTGTGTCTCTTGGCCTCACATAGCCACTGATTATCATTTATATTTGTAGAAGCCATCATTTCCTCTCGGACAGACCCAGATGGGCCATAATATTGGGTGCGTTTGGTGAGAGATGGATGGGTTTGGGTCCGGAGAGGGAGGATAAACACGTGGGGGCAGGCGGCGGTGCAGTAACACTTGGGTGTTCTGCACCACAGGCGGGAGATCCCAATCTGAAATCTAGGGCGACGGGAGTATTTTAGCTTGGATTCCTACGAAATGAAAGCACCCTGACTTTTTCCCAGGCACACACTTGCTGTCTGAGGTTGAAATACGCCCTCGAGGCATAACATATAAAGGACACCACACTGTAGATGCTTTTAGATGTGATTGTAATTGATGATTGTAATGGTTTGCTTTCTGTTACACCCTTGGAGGGAGGTCAGCATTTGAAATGTTTCCTAAGAGATGGAAATAATGACTTACGGTCAAGAGTTCATGTCCATTTACATTATTTTTTAACATTCTTACCGTTCATATTTGAGCGTAGGAGGTGACTCACAAGTAGTCATCATCTCTGTGGGACTATTCTGAACACTTAACAGTAAATAATGCTGATGGATGGTTCTTCTTCTGATTGTGTCTGTGTACCCTCGTTTATCTTATTGGAGAAGAGCGATAATCAATGAAGCACTCAATAGAGAGGGTAGGGCTGGGACTGGAGCTGGGAGAAATGAGCCCACATTGAGTGTTTGCACTAAGATGGAGTACTTTACTCTCAATAGTTTTTTGATGAATGTTTTTGGAAAATAGGCCGCACACTACTGTATAAGAAAGCATTGTATGTCTTGTCTGTTCTGGTCTATATCCTGTTCTTTCCCCTAGCCCTAGTGTTGCTATCACAATGTTATTTTTACTTTGTTTTCTCTGAAGCAAGTCACCGGAGTTGTGTTTCATGTTATTGCTGTGTTTTGAACCCGACTTCCCCAAAAGCTGATTGATGGCCCTTCAAACATGTAAAACTACCCCGAGCCTAAATGAGTCCAAAAATCCGATCCCCCCCCCCCATTGCAAGTCGAGGACTTTATAAGAGTAGTGAAGCCAATCTCTCATGTCCGTGTTACAGCTGACTACCACAGCAGCGGGAACATAGTAAACAACGGCTGGAAGATCCACAACACGGCCAAGAACAAGTGGTTCGTCTGCATGGCCAAGACCCCGGAGGAGAAGCAGGAGTGGCTGGAGGCCATCATGAAAGAGAGGGAGCGGAGGAAAAGTAAGAAGGCGCTTGACTGTATCAGTATCGGGGGGGGGGGTGGTCAGTCAGTCATTTTTATTTTTTTCTCCTCAACATCTGTCTTGAATATAATAGCTGTGAATATTTGGGTAATTAAATAAATTGGGTAATTATTTGGGTAATTGAATACAGAAGTTTTTAACCGTATCAATAAAAAGGTGAGTAAATACCAGCCATTCAGTTGTGGCATCTGCATCCAAGAGTGAAAGAAAAAGCGAGGGATACGGTGATATTGTGTGTGTCTTTGCTAGCACGATAAAGGGTGTTAAATTCCAACAAGGAGAACTCTAATTTTCGGTATCTATCATACCCATTTTGAGATTGTGGACATGATAATCCCTTTATAGTGTCAGTCATTAAGACTATTAGCACAGACACTGAAAGACATTGCTAATTACCTTGTGAAATTAAGAGACATTAACCTTCTCGAGCTAGTAATTGGTGTCACATCTAGTCTAGGAGCTGAGTGCAAAAAAATTGTTAATGCCGAGATATTGACAGGCTTTTTTTGCACCCTCCCTTCTTGCCTCCCCTGCTGCATAGGTCTGAGGCTCGGCATGGAGCAGGATACGTGGGTGATGGTGTCAGAGAAGGGAGAGAAGCTCTACCACCTCATGACCAAGGGTAACCTCATTAAGGACCGTAAACGCAAGCTCACCACCTTTCCCAAGTGCTTCCTGGGAAGGTAAGATTCTTGTTGGTTTCCTCTGTGTCAGTGTGAGCTCTGTAGCTGTGAGGGAGTGAGTCAGTGTCAAAGTGGATGACTGTGCCGTGAGATAAACCAGAACGAATATCTAATTCTGTGTATTTGCAGATATGTAGGTCTTTATGTTTGAGAAGTAGACAGAGAGGCCTTGTTCAGTGTTGAATCACTAATATTAGCACCTACATCATATGGTAAATTATACAGATTACACCATTGTAACACAGATCATTTACTCCATCCCTAAATTTCATTTCTTAAGTGGGCAGGAATTTCTAAAGACAGCAGCTGGGAGGAAGAAAGCATCTGTGCTTTTTGTTCAGGTGGCTCTATGTTATGCGTGTCTGTAGTCTCGGTCATGGGAAAATCAAATCCAGCCAGATTTAGCCCATGAATCTTATTTAAGGATTATTGGTGTGGTGTGTGGGGACGGATCGGCCACTGAATGCCAGTCGTAAATCACAGGGAGATATCCCTGTGCCGCTCAGCTGACTGCCCGCTTTCTCCACCGCCCATGTTAGATTACAATCAGCTTACTGCTGAGGAATCTATGAGGTAACTGCAGTAGAGGGCCCATTATACCATAGGGCAGCTGTGTGTGTGTCTTGGTAACATGTTCTTCGTTTCCTCTTGTCCTTGAGCTTCCACAGCTTCACTATGCCAGTAAACTGTTCTTCCATGTTTACTTCTTGTGAGTCTAAATATGCCCATCTATCCTCCGTTTGCTGATAGGTGAGAATATTTACTGTGAAGCTTAGCTCCAAATCCCGTCCTTGAGCTATTTTCAGCATGCATGAGTTGATGCCCCCATTTCAGCGCTTTGCTTTCATCATGTAAGATGGAGATGTCTTGCTGTCATATCGACTTGCCAGGTTCTCATGCAGTTAATGAGCGCCAAAGTTGGTCTGAACTGAGTTCGCCCAGGGTTTCATCCAGAAACGCTCTTTAAATTTAGAATTTAAATACTTAAATTTCAAACTGTAGGGGGCACGGACTGTAACTCCCATCATTGATGTTCATCAGAACCATGTGATCATCAAACTACCTGCTGGGATATGATGTTCCCCTGATTGAGCCTGAAAGCGTTATACAGGAAATCTTGATGGGATGTCACACCTCTTTCGTTGCTGAACGGGATAAACGCACAAAGCTGTAACCTCAATCCAAACCTCACTCCATTCCTGCCACATTGCTTTGTGAGAAGCGACACTTTGTGAGACTTAGAAAGTGACAAAGCTGGATCAGGATGATAAAATCTACAACCATCTGGCTGCAGCAGAAGAGCTCTCCATGACAGCTTTTTTACAGAGTGAAGGGTTGGGAATAAAATTAAATATTTTCATGCAACAGTGTTGGTTGGATGTTATTTAAACTGTGTGCCTATCTTGACTCTTGAAATCCCATAACAAATTTGCCTTGTAAACTCCCCACTACTTTTCAGAATGAGCCATGTTTTCCATTTGTTAAAATTTTTTACATTGATGTTTTGACTGGTAATAAATACACTGACAATCACCCGAGCTTAAACAGTCATTTCAAAATCCCTGTTATTTTTGAAAACATGGGGAGAGAGAAAAGAAACAACCAAAAAGTCCAATTGGGCATACTTGTGGCCATGTTACATCGCATTGGTGGTTTGGAACGAGGAATTACTTTCTCCTTTGGTCCACGCAGACAACACCAGATCCCTTGCGGTCTGGAGAAGGAATGGATCTGCCAGCTAAAAAGATTAAAAGGATCAAACGTTGGTCATATATGGGCACTTCATTGAGTCTGAAGAGATCATATGGTGAGAAAGCAGCTCAGGGAAGCTCCTTTTGGAAACCTATCCCTCTATACACAACTTGGCCAACACCTGGATGTCCACTTGTGGGTGAAAAGACATCTCTAGCTTCTCTGTACTTCCCCCGTCTGAGATTATCATGGAGATGATTACATGTGGGCATAATTGGTGAATTGGAACCAGCATGGTATGTCCCTGATGAAAGCCACATTGCCTATGGGTTCCACTCAGCCCACTCCCTCCATTGTGAAATGCTTTGCTTTTATTCTCCTACCACGCCTCCTCTTTCTCTTTTTTTGATTTTTGTTTTTTCAAAGCCGAAAGGCTATTTTTGGGTCCCGCGCTCCTCCCCTTTAAGTGGTACAATCGCATTTGTGGGTTGGTTCCTGTGACAGTGTAATTCATCAAAGAAAATGTGTGTGACAGCCACCGAGCTTGCAGTTATATCATCCAATTTTAAACCTGGAATAAACAGAAAAACAAAAAGAGATTTAAAGTGTGTCTTTTCTGCACATGACAGACAATAGTGTCTGCTTGTCGTGATAGATGTTGATGAAAAGCCCTTCAGGAGCTCAATGAAAAGGTTAGACACCCTGCAAGAAATGCTCTTTGTCTTCGTCAGCCTCTGCTCTTTCTTTTTGACAATACTTGGCACACACATTTTGCTCCATCTGCTCACACCAATGTTAAAATTCAGCAGAAGCTGAATAAAAAATCTGCTGCATGTGGATGTAGTCAGCATTTCATACATAAAACAGGCAGATATAACACCAGTTACACCAGTTAACATACTGTACCAATATTGTACGAAAGTACAGTAGATACTCTGTGGGAGTTGATAATCTTAATGTCGTGGCGTAGAGAAACTTAAAGTAGTAGTTTGACATTTTGGAAAGAGATTGAGTCTGCTAAATATGAAGCTACCAGCAGCCGACTAATATGTTAATTAACGAGCTTTAGAATTGCTAATAAGCATTTTTTGTTACCCGTTACCGATGGAACCAGGCTAGCTGTTATGCTAAGCTAAGCTAAGCTAAATGTCTACTGGCAGTAGCTTCATCTTTAGCAGACAGATGTGAGTGGTATTGATCATCTCATCTAACTCTAAATAACTGAAACATTTCTATGTTTGGCCTTCATGAAGTAATTCATCGCTTATAACAAGATGTTCATTTACAAAACACTTGGTTTTGAGGCCCTTTAAAGGCTGAATCAAAGTAAGTGAAACATATAATACCAAACAATCTCAAATGATCGATTTGTGCACAAATATGTCTTAAATGTTGCCACATTCCACATGTAAATTTTAATTGCGTGAAACTGTTTATTGCATATGTGACCCCAATCTAATGAAGACCATGAGAATTTCAGTCCAAACTTTCATGGTGTTTTTCCTTCCATGGTTTAAGGTGCAGAGGTTGACAAATTGACGTTGTTATAGACTTGTGTTTTCCCCCCGTGGTCTGTTGCGTAGAGAAAAGACGCCAAGGATGAGTGGTTAAAGAGTGACGGAGGTGAGGTGGGGTGTTTGGTCAAGTTGTTTCTCCGCAAACATTCGTAATTGCCCCAGTTGGCTCGACGCTGAAACCCGACCACCTCCGTCATGGCCCGCAAGTGAATTCCAGTGGTGCTGCTGGCCGTGTTTGTTTGTCTTTTATAGGCAGACAGGACATCGAGGATTTAATTGGATAAGATACTGCCACTCTGCCTGTCCTCAACCCTTTTACTCTTTCTTTATTTTCTCCTCGTACTCTCTCTCATGCTTGAGTCACTAAATTATGGAGGATTATCCCGTTTAGGTCATTTGGGCTGTCAGAAGATCAGATGCTATGTTTGTTTTTCCTGGGGTTTGGTTTGTTTCCTCTTCCCAGTTGTAAATGATGCGGAGCAAAACTTATCGTTCATTTTCCATCATGAACTTCCTGAGATTCAATTCAATTGTTTGGATTTCATTGTGTTACATCGTAATGTCTAAAATAAATGAAGTTGAACAAAACACAAAGCCTAAAGCCTGCTGGACAGATGTGGCCCCCCCCCAGCAGTAAATATATCATCCCTCTTCGCCAAGATAGTGTTTGTTGCCATATTCTCAGCAAAGGCCACCACCTTTTCCAATTTACAGATTATTGAGGGTTAATTTAAAGCTCTCTCCACTGATCACACTCTCTTTTATAGAGCGATGGGATTTCCCCTTGGGGATTTTGTGTACGTTTGCTATGTTATCCCTGTGAGAGTATGTGCGCTATTATGTCAGTGTTGCCTTTTGTGTTTCCCCCCCAGTGAGTTTGTGTCTTGGCTGATGGAAATTGGCGAGACAGGCAACCCAGAGGAAGGGGTTCACCTGGGTCAAGCGCTGCTGGAGAATGGAATTATCCACCATGGTTAGTTCTCTCAATCTTTTCCCACTAAGACCTGCTTCATCATCCTTTGCTGTTCCTTATCTATAACCAAATCTACCACAGTCCAAGTTACATAGTGCTAAACTGTATAGTGCATGCAAATGCCTGTCATTGCCTGACCTAACCTATAACCACGTTCTCATTCAGCAAGCACTTTCACAATATTTTCCCTCCCTGGCTTGAGCCTACAATGCAGATGCAGCTGTTGTATTTACGTATGTCTTAGCAGGTGTCCCACTCCTTTCACACAATGTTTAGGTAAGGGGTTATGAATGTTAATCTCCTCTTGCCGTAATGTTTGTGAAATATTTGCTCAGTGGCCGTTCTGTGGCTTTGGGTAACAAATGTATTTGGTGCACGCGGCTTAAGCTCACTTAATGCTTTGCATTCACACTAAATGGCGCGTACTGCTCTGCATGTTTGTTTTTTTTCTTCTTCAACAGAGTAGGGCCCCAAGCCAAGTTGTATCTTGAATCACTCGGGGGGTGCTTTATTGCTTCCTCACAGAGAAATGAGATATGAGCTTTAGAGCCGGTCCTGACAGAGAGGAATAACTCCGAGCTCCTCTGAGCTGCCTCACAGTGCTGTTAGAAATGCCCATGTGAAAAATGAGAGAATATCTTTTCATAAAAACCTTTAATGGAACTCTCATGGCTGCAGCCAAGAATACAGAGCCAACTGTTATTACTGTTTTGGAGAAGAAGCCTTCGACAAAGTCCCCTAAAGCAAGAGGAGCAGCTGTGTTATCTGTGACCACTCTGTATGAGGCTTGAGTCTTCCTCTTGTCTGGAAAGCTTGTTTCACCGCGCAGCCCTGCTCGGCTTGAATATGTTTCAAAACCTCTTATACTTCCGAATTTAAAGCAATATGAATAACGCCCCCTTAGCGTTTGAGACTTTTTCATCCTTCCTCCTGGCACTTCTCCTTTCAGAAACCTCCTTATGTTTTGAATTGCATTTTTAGTCATGGACAAACACCAGTTCAAACCTGAGCCTGTACTGTACCGCTTTCGCTACGACGATGGCACCTACCACCCCAGAAGTGACATGCATGATGTCATATCTAAGGTACACAGTGGAGCTCAATTTTATATAAATCACATTTGACACACCTGTCATTAACCTAATCAAAAGCTTGTTTTTCTTAGGGTGTTCGGCTCTTCTGCCGTCTTCACAGCCTCTTCACTCCTGTCATCAGGTAGGCAGCCATTGTCTTTTCCCCTCCATCGCAAACCCAGCCAGATGGGGCCCCAGTAGCTGTAGCATTGTTTTATTTTTTTAAGACGAACTGACTTGGGTGGAGTTGGCAAAAATGGTGATGGAGTGCTCATAGCTGTTATAAAGCATTTTAAAGTGGCCACAGTTACAATGCGCAGGTCGTACACATTTCACTGTGTGTGGCCGACAGTATATTGATCTTGTGCTCTCAAAGGCCTGACACGAAGTCCTGCTGCAGGAGGCAAACATCGATTCCAATTCCTCAACGTACAACATGATCAAAATAGCCATTTGGATATCTGAAGTTCAAAACTGTTGTTTTCAAAGTTTCAGGACTGAAATGAGTTCTGTGTGCCATTATATGTCATTCAGATAAACACTTGGAAAGAAAAAAGTAAGCTCCCAGTATGTCATCTTATAGTGAATAATTAGTGTAAACAGGCCCATGAAATAGTCACCTAAACCCAAATGTGAAACAGGTGTTTTTGAGCAATTCTGGCACATATCATGAAACGTCCCTTTGTCTAACAGGGTTCGAAGTGGAGCAATCTCATTTTATAGGAGTGTTTGCTGGCAGGCTTTGGTTTTCTGTGTTGTTTTTTAAAATCTCCACTTGAACAGTGTTTGAGGAGCAGACTGCTAATGTGTTTTGCCACAAAGTACCGCATCAAGGTTGCCTGTTTATGTTAGTTTTCAAATTGCCCGCAGAAAAGCTTTAATTTCACACCAACAAAACTGTGCCATAGCTAGAAGGGGCACGCTGATCCTGCATGTATTCCTGCATCTTTTCCGTATTTCTGTTTGATCCAGCTACTAAAAAGCCTAAAGGGTGATTATGTGTGTGTGTGTGTCAGCATTCAGCCCACTGGCATTTGTGTTGAGGCCAAATCTTTTGACGTAAAAACTCTTCTTGGTGCTCTGTGTGATGTAAGCCAGCATATCTGTGCAGTGCGTCCTCACTGAGAGCAGTACAATGCATCACTGGGCCTGGGAATGCCAGAATTTAATTGGAGCAACCAGCCCCTGCCTAATTAGGTATAATTTCCTGGCAGAGCGAGATAGATGAAACGAAAGGGGGGAGGAACGTACACCACGCAACCCCTATACCCCCCAGCACCCCCCACACAGCTTCTGTTCCACTCACACCAAACTTTCCTCACACAAGAAAGCTCCAGGGAATCTGATTGTCCGTTTAAAAGGTCCACTGTATGCTAATACTGTGTACACACAGCTATACGTGTATTAATGCGACGAGAAGACATTTTTCAAAATGCACACATCGATGCTGCAAACCCACACAATGCAGAGAAGGTCAATCATAAATTATCTTCACACAGAATGGGAAAACCAACGTTTCAGTTCAGAGTCTGATAAATATCGACAAGTTTTCTTCTTTATGCTGATGAGTCCTCCGGAAACTCAATATTTATTGATGGATGTGTAGAATTTTCAAAAATAAACAACGATATGGTGCATTGTGCTTGAGTAATCCGTCAAACCTGAAACAGTTGATTAAATCTTCAAATCTTTCCAAAGAATGCTTTGAAAATGCAACGTTTTGCCTTCTTCATCCATTTACTGCGAACAAAATGTCAAGGCAAACTTTCCTCTTTGGACAGCAAGTTAAAAAAAAACACCTCTGTGACCTTTCCCTCTGTTACTCCTCAAACTGCTGTTTCCTCATGCCGGACATATGGCTGCCCGCTGGACCGCTGTTTACCCTAATTTTTCACTCTGACAGCCTCACTGTGCACCAGCCGCTCTAGCTCCAGTCTCCCTTTCTCCAGTATCCCATTCAGTGTTTCTCTTTGCCTCTTCTGGTCCAAGTGGTTTTGTGTATGGGACGGCAGGGCAACGTGCCTCACCGGCTAATACCAACACTGCCCTCATCATCAGAGACCAACTCGGGCTGTCAAATACAGTTAGGCAACAGAATGTTCCATTGTGGAGGAAACAGGGCAGCATTTGGCCTCTCTTGCTTCACAATTTGACCAGCTCCAGACAGCTGAGATTGGACTTCAGTTTGGCCCACATGTCATGTTTGACTTGTCTGAACTGCATGTGTGCAACACAGGCATGTGTATGTGCGGTTGTGTGCAACACAGGCATGTGTATGTGCGGTTGTGTGTGTGTGTGTGTGTGTGTGTCTGAGTGAGTGTTTGCATGTGGTGGAAGTGGTCGAGCGGTGTAAGTCACGGTGGTTCTGGACTTTCCCGGGCCTGCAGCTCAGGCCCTGAGTGTCCCCGGGGAGGCCCCTGTGTTCATGGGAAAAGTCACAGCTCCGTTTTCAGACTGCATTCTCGGGGCCTGTGCAGCAGTGTGGGTAACACTGGGAACATCAACACCAGACTGACATGGGGCACCCTAGGGCCAAACACAGCAGGGGCCGTTACCAGCCATGCTCGGAGGAATGCTGTTTTGCTGTCGCCACGTGTCAGAAACACACACAGATTTATGACACAACTGCCGGTGCTTGAAAAGTGACCACGCCTTTCTGACAGTGGGAATTATTAGCTCTCTTTTAGGCTCCATTGCTATTTGTGTTGAAATAGACCAAGAAATTACTACTTCACGTGTTCACCATCTGGATTTATTACGGTTAGAGTGAATCACAGAGTTGAAAAGTAGCATGGCACAGTTCAAGTTTGAAGGCAGAATCTTGTTTTCGTAACCCTTTTCATGACGTTTTCTGCTTTTCTTACCAATCCAGGGACAAGGACTACCACCTGCGGACCTACAAATCAGTGGTGATGGCCAACAAGCTCATAGACTGGCTTATTGCACAGGTAAACCCTGATTTAGCTTCATACACATACAAAGACGAGTACTAGTATCTTATATCCATTATCAGTGGACGTATGATAATGATCACATAGTGCACAGTCAACCAAGTGTTTGTCCAAATAAATGATTCCAAGCAAAATTATGAATCAATTAATTCGATCGTAATTAGATTTGTTTTACATGCGTGAAAAGTTTTTACTGAAGTAATGCACAACTTCAAACATTTTGACTGTTGTGTATATATAGTATTGCGGGCCACCTCAAATGTGCAACAGAGGAAAGAAACTGAGACAACAAAGCGTTTCTTGCCACCAGACTTGAGGCTCTCAGCGGAGCCAAAAGGAAACGACGAAAGAAACACGGAATTGATTCGACAGCTGAGCTTTATTAGCTTTGACAGGAAGCTTTGAGGTTGACAGATTGATAGTCCTGTCCAGGATGACAACAAATAAATAAAATGTGTACGGCCACCACCACAGAATCAATGGCAGACGTCACATGTTTGTGTCTGCATATAGCGTGTGTGTGTGTGTGTGTGTGTGTGTGTGTGTGGTAGTCCGTATGAATGTGTTTGACACAGGCCAGCGGAATAGCTCTGACTCCTTCAGTGGGACTTCAAGAGCTGTCGCACTATGTTGTCTAGACATGATTTTGGCTGTGTTCAAGATGGAGCGTGGAGTGGCTCTGCTGGCCTCTGGGATTTTTGGATGCAGGAACAAAAGGAGGGAGGGAATGTGTTTAAAGTGTGACATTTTGACTGCTCTCTAAACATACAATGTCCTTTGTTCTGTCTCTTTCTCTTTCTTGCCTCGACTCGTTTACTCTTTCCACACTTTATGCTTAAACATTTCTCCGCTGCACCCACTCTTTCTCTTTCCCGTGTCTTCTGGTGCAGGGGGACTGCAGAACCAGGGAGGAGGCGTTGATCTTGGGGGTGGAGCTGTGCGACAATGGCTTCATGCATCACGGTACAGCACTTCTCACTGCCGAGGATTTCAACAAACCCAAAAAAAAGTTCTTGATCCCGCTGTTCTCACACAGTGGAATCCTCTCCACTGTTTACTAAATGAGACTTGAACGCTTTGGAGAAACCGCACAGAGGGCGGCTGGCATTTAGAATCCTGTTTTAGAACACAACCACTCTTGTTCTCTTTCCATTACTACTTATAATCCCTTTGACACGCAACAGGAATAGAACATATTTCCAATCCAGTGAATGAATCAGTATGTGTGGTTAGGGCTATGGCTGTATCCATGCATGCTATCGTTAACTGCGTGCCTATTTGTGTGCATCTGAACTTAAGTAACAGGGTACATGCAGGTCTTGCCTTAGCTGTGAGAACTTGGCAGAGAACACATGGATGTTTTTCAGTTTAAGTGCAAAATGGTCAGAAGCCATGGTTACAGCTTATTTATGCGAGTCAGACTCGGTTTTTAACTCTGCTCCTCCCTCGTGCCAAAGTCCACATCATGCACACTACAGTATGAGTCACAGCGTGTCTCCTTGTACCTCCATGATGTAACTGCTCCAAACTGTCCACAGTTCCAGCCTCACTCAACAAATTACCAGCACATCTATGGAACATAACAGTCCCAGCCATCAGACATTTCACTTTTCACTTCCACAGCCTTCAGGATAATTTCACCATTCGTGCCAGTAAGTTATTTGGCCTGACAATGTGCTTATTAAACCTATATCTGATCTTGAGTGGAATGAAGAATAGGGTTATTTTTCCCCTTTTGCCGTGGAGACTGGGTTCATGCAATGGAAGTGGGGTCTCACTTTCTTTCACAGTGTGTGTTTGTGCATATCGGGATACATAGTGCACATGTGTTGAACTGCTGGGGCATGCTCCATTTGGCATGTGACTAATCATGTTCAAATGTCTTAACTTAGTGAAAAATGCTTGATTAATTATTTGAATATGTTCTAATCATGCACAGCACTAGATGCTGAGAGTCAAGTTTTCAATAAACCATCAATAGGCAGTCTAAGTCATGGAACTAGAACATATTTTAATTTCATATGGTTGTCTTGTGGGACAATTGTAGTGATTTTACATTTTCACAAATCACATATTCTATGACATGATTATCCAATTTGCAAACCATTTTTCTGTATTATATAATCCTTACACACAGCCATTGGTTTCCATTAATTTCCCTACAATTTGTTTTCATAATCCTCGTCAAAGTCATGTCAAAGTTACATAATACTTTTGAGGTTAAAAACTGTTTTTTTTGTAACTCTCAAAACTGCATTACCCTGAGAAAGATGAGACAAAAATAACTGCAGAGTTGATGTTCGCTGTGACGGATTACACAACAAGTTCTCAATGTCCGTCCATACGTGATCTGTAGTTGGACCTAAAGCTTTCAAACACACTGGGTGTCAGCAATATTCAGCAAGTTTAATGTCGGTTGTTTCTTTTTCTGACATTTACTCAGTTGTGACTGTGTTGTTATCTCCTTCAGTGTTGGAAAAGAGTGAATTCAAGGACGAGCCCTTGTTGTTTCGTTTCTTCGCTGATGAGGAGATGGAGGGTTCCAACACCAAACACAAACCTATGAAGCACGACCTGAAGATAGTTGAGAACGTCATCTCCAAGTCTCTCCTGGTGAGCGCCTGCTTACTGTGTACTCCATGGTGGCTTATTGATTGATTACTATGACTTTGCTATAAAGTACCCACAACTCAGAACAAAACCGAAGGCACGGTAAATCATAAGAAGGCACACAGCTGTGAGGAGGAAAAGTCACAACACTGCAGAAGTCCATTTTATACCTCAGTAAGCATTCTTTTCTGAGGAGTGAGCAAATACGACCACGGGCTGCTATCTGTATGTAGCAGTATCTGCTTCTGGTGTGTGTGTGTTTGTGCTCTGTGAAAATGTCTCAGTCTGCTGGCTTGGGATTCTTCTGATGGGAGACATGTTGTTTTTCTCCAGATAAGGCCCAGTGACGGAGGCTACGGCTTCATGCTGGAAGAGAGAAACAGAGTCCCCATCATCAAATCTGTAGAGAAGGGCTCCCCAGCTGAGGTGCGAATGCACACACACACACACACACACACACACACACACACACACACACACACAGTACATACATGCTTATTGAATGAATTGATTTCCAAATGTCGTTATTATTACTTTTGAAACAGGGTCCTTACTGAGTGAATTTTTACTATTGTACAAATTCATGTAATCTCTGTAGAGGCCAAATCCTACGGGTGTTTCTTTTCTTTATGGTGTTCAGACTGTGTGGTTCCGTGTATCCCCTTTGTAATTCAACAGCTGCATTTGATTTTGTTTCCTCGAAGTTGTTCTGCAAAGCTGTGATGCTTTCATAGCAGATGAGCATCAACAGAAGCCTTTAGTTGTTAAAATGTGGTTTGATCATCAGTCATCAAAAAAAATCCAAACCTCTAACCTGCTTTTATGGTGATAGACACGAATGCTGACATTAGAAGCATTATCGTGCAGAAATAGAGCACATTAAAGGGCACCATATTTTTGAGGTCTCCTTTGGTGTTTAGCTTTGATCTGCAAGATGAAAATGGGGCCGAGGAGTTTGAAGGCAAATGTGATCAATATGAGCGCACGACCCATAATTCCCTCCAGCCCTGTAGTCGCACAGAATGAGTCTGTATGGTCTGGATCGCATACACAGTTGCTTTTAAATATTCAAACTGGGACAATGAAATCCACAACAGGATCCAGCTGTGTACTGATAGATAAAAGCCATCTCTGATATCTAGAAATCATTTGGGAATATTTGTGTTCTTATACCAAAGTTAATCTGAAGCTCAAAATGACAAACATTTCATTTGGATTCTGTATGACATTAAAAACTGATGCTTGACTTAATATTTTTCGATCATCTCTTCTTTTCTCTTCTCTAAGATGGCTGGCCTGGAGGTGGGGAAGAAGTTGTTTGCCATAAATGGAGACCTGGTGTTCCTCAGGCCTTTCTCTGAAGTGGAAGCTCTCCTCAGGCAGTGCTTCAACAGCAAAGGACCCCTCAGGGTGCTGGTTAGCACCAAGCCAAGAGAGTAAGTCAGTTCTGCATATGCACGTGCGTTAAATGTGTGCATACGTAGGTTTAAAGAAATATTGTCAAAGTCATCTTGCATCAGCTTATTTTCCCTCCTCTTGTCACCAGGACGGTCAAGATCCCAGACTCCGCCGATGGGTTGGGTTTCCAGATCCGTGGCTTCGGTCCTTCTGTGGTCCATGCCGTTGGGAGAGGTAAGAGATCGACCACCTCTACCGCTTGAGCTGTCTTGATTCATCGTGTTATTGTGGCACAGCTGGCCAGCAGATGCCACAGCAGTATTGGTGGGTGTGCGTGTCTTGGCCACAAGGGGCCAATTTTCCTCACTCATGCTCTCCATGTGGTTCAGCTGGTTGCTTAATGGTGCTGCCAAAATGGAGAATTAGCTGGTTGTCAGTCACTTTCCACATTACAAAATATTCTCCATGTACCTTTTCACAGAGTTTTTCTCCAAACCCAGCGTGTTTAGTAGCACTGCTATCGAGGCTGGCACAAGATAGGGTCTAATCAAAAAACAATCCATGGCCTTGTCTGGCTGTTCTCAGGGGAATTGAATTTTCTTTTTTCGTAAGCAATCTAAGTGGGACAGCAAGGTAGAAATGTGCTTGCTTGCATGTGCCTGTGCTTGTGTTTGTGTCTGTTTGTGTGTGTGTGCATGTGTTGTCTTGATGATGCGGTTGCCTGGGAACCTGCTGTGTGTTTAAGTAGATGCTCTCATCCCCCGAGACGAAGCTGATGATGTAGAAGGTGTCTAATCACTTAGATTGTCATAACAGCTGCTGTCCCCTGGTGTCTGAGGTCAACAAGAGCAGGTAATAGCAATTAGAGGCAGAGAAAGTGAGAGACAGGAAGAGGGGAGATGAGGAGAAGGAGCCGTTAATCAGATGAAATTCATTTTACGTTTGTGGTACCAGTTCTAGCCAGGCTATCCAAGGCCGGTCATGTCCACATTAGTGCTAAAAAGCAAATGTCAACGCTTCAAAACACACATCCTGCTCACCAGATTATTTTTTTATAGAGCAACCTACCAGAGAAACCAGAGCTATTGGTTATTGCAGTATATCAGTCAAAGTGATTCAACAATAATATGAACGTTAGAGTGCAGTATCTTGTACCACACTTGTTCTCCTCTGTGCAGTCTGAGTCCCTATCTTATTGGCCCTATTGTTGTGTCAAACTGTGGCCTGTTTTTCTGTTCTATTATTGAATCCAGTGGACCCGTCTGTTGATATACTTTCTTACTACACTTAAAGGAGTAAAGCTCATTATTTTCATGCTTAAAATACTTGGCGAGAGGAGTACAGAGTCTGTATATTGCAATGTGAGGTATGCATGGTGTGTGCTTAAGGAGCTATGAAAACAAATGGGAGGAATATTTCGTCTGCCATGCACTTCCTTCTGATAGCTGTAAACCATGAAGTTCTCTTACAGTATGGTCTGAATCACATCCCTCAGAGAGAGACCTTCGTCGACCCGAGATAAACAACTTCCCTCCTCTCCACGCGCTCTCTCACACTCCTCCTGAGCTGCCAAAACAGGAAACAAAGTTGTAAATACAAAGAAGAAAAAGGAATGTTGTTCAACCCAATTTTGTGCACAGGATGTGGAAGATGTGACAGTTTTTTTGGGGATGTGCTGGTATTTGTTTCATCGTGATGCAGCTGTTACCTGTATGATAACGTGCAGCAGTTATTGCCCTTGACACCTGTCCTTTCTCTTTGCTTGTCTTCGTCTTACGCCCAGGCACGGTGGCAGCCATCGCCGGTCTCCACCCGGGCCAGTGCATCATCAAGGTGAACGGCATCAATGTGAGCAAGGAGAGCCATGCCAGCGTCATCGCTCATGTCACCGCGTGCAGGAAGTACCGTCGACCCACACAGGTGAGACGGGGTGAGAGGAAATGACAGGAAGGAGGGGAACCTGACTAGACACTGCAGTTTTCCAAAAGTTTTAATTCAGGGGGAAAGTGTTTACTCAATATTTAGGTTATCAATCATGTATACCATGAAAATTAAAAAAGACCTGTCCCCTAAGATATAGCCCCCTAAGTAGAAAAGATTATTTATTTTCTGCAATTATGTTTGATTTGGAGGTCACACTTTCATTTCCCATGAACTCACTGGTGGAAAATGAAAACAACTTTTAATTGTATGTTGATTTATCGGATAGTTACGTTATAAAACTAGAAGGACGAGAAGTGTGACAGATCATAAAATGGTAAAAGAAACAAAAAGAGGGGAAAAAAGGACTAGTTGACCGTAAGAAAGAACATAGCAGACAGACCTCTTAGCTCCCGTTTACCTTAATATCTCTCTTTCTCTCTCTCTCTCTCTCTCTCTCTCTGACTCCCTCGTTCCTTCTCTTGGGTCATTACGCAGAAATAATAGTCGTTTTGGCTCCTCCAGTGCTGACCTCTGGCTCACAGCGGTGGGCCTGCTGTGGGAGACTGGAAGGCTGCAGAGAGAGGTGGGAAAGGATCTGGGGGTGGCTGGAGCTCAGGGTGGGTGAGATTGCTGGAGGGAGGGAGGAGAAAGATGGAGGACAGGCTAGCCAGTTTCTTTTCTTCTTTTGCCTGAAAGAGTGGTTGACAACAGTGTAGGGTGAGAGAGTAAGCGCAGTCCACCTGCTGAAGGTGGGAAAATTGTGGGAAAATAGAAACCCAAGGGTGTGTGTATGGTGTGAGTTAGTGTAGTGTGTCACTATAATTGAGCCCCGCTGGGACTTCAGGCTTAATGAAGCACTTCAGGGTTCCAACATTACTGGAGATCTGGTTTGCATCAAGTCGGGACGCAGAGGAACCGCCCTCTCTTTCTCTTTCTCTGTCGCTTTCTCTGTTTGTGCGAAGACCACAGACCAGTAGGCAGGCACAGCATGTAGCCTTGGCAGAAAACCCACTGTGGGCTTGGTGTGTAGACGAGAGAACAGACACACACACGGCAAGCACGCACACACAGGGCCGTGTGGCGCTCTAGAGTGGGTTGATGACATTGGCATGGGTATGAGTTTGCGGCCTCACCAAGCAGCGTGTTTCCATATGTTTGTGAAGGCTTTTCGCTCCATGCCCTGCTAACCCAACTGCAACACTGTACACCATATCTGGGTAGAATCAGCTAAACATGCTGCATGAAACCCACACCTCAGCTTGCACACACACACACACACACACTCACACACACGCACACATACACCAGTGTATTCATAGTTTTATTTTTCCTCATCTCCCATCTTCCTAGCAATAGAAATGCCACCTGTTGAGCACGAGTGATGCTAGAATACACTGATGTGTGTTGACAGTTTTGTGCATCAGTGACTGTAATGTTTCCAGCCAATTTGATTCTAAGCAAAAACATACCGATGTTTTGCGGTTTAATAGAAGTTCAAAGTATAAAGATAATGAATAAATGACTTAACGAATTCCTTTACAATAATCCTTTGCAGCAAGACACTATAAAGTGGGTGTACAACAACAGCGAGAGCGCCCAGGAGGACAACCAGACAACAAACCAGAAACCAAACTCTGAGGAGAATGGAGACGGCTTCGAGTGTAAAGTAGAAGGTGACCACGCGCAAACACACACTCACAATAAACTGCAGCAAGAATCTGGTAAAAGAAATTCCGCTGAAGGTGTTTGTGGATGTCACACAGGCTTGTTCGCGGGAACACAAGTCCGACGCCCTCTCCGGTTAACAAGTCAGACGGAGCTCCAAACAGGCTCATCTGGAGTGTGTTAGTCTGAGAACAGCCGCCCCATCTGGCTCATCAAGTGTTAATTCCCTCCTACGATTTATGGATCCCAATAAGAAAGTTAAACAGGAAAGCTATTCCCTTCGTAGCAAACAGCCACGGAGCAGGATTTATTGCCGTATTAAGTCTTCGCGTTAGCATAGGGCTGGTTAATTTAATACACTTGGAATTACTCATCATTTTAGGAGTGTTATGGAGGGACTTCCTCTAAAATGAACTGCAGATTTGGTGGTCTGAGACCTCCTACAATGCAGAGAGTGCAATGATGAACACACTTTTTGTGGTAAAGATTGGGATCCTTTGTGTTTATCACACAACATGATACAGTACAACATTTCTCTGATTAGTGCTGCCAGTTAACAGAGATCTGTTTCATCACCGTCTCTTCTTTCTTCTGTGTTTCTATAACCTCAGAGGTGATGGACAAATTCAACACCATAGCCATCATCGACGGCAAGAAGGACCATGTCAGTTTGACGGTAGACAACGTCCACCTGGAGTACGGAGTGATGTACGAGTACGACAGCACAGCCGGCATCAAGTGTCACGTACTGGAAAAGATGGTCGAACCAAAAGGATTCTTCAGCCTCACTGCTAAGGTATTCTTTCCGTTCAGTTAGTTGGATGAATATAGGGATAACTGATAAGATTTAATATCTATATAATGATATATTGTGACATTTATCTTGGTAACAATACATGCAAATATCATCAGTACTTTACAGTCTGAATTAGTGATGGTAGGACCAGTTAAATGATCTGGAGATCTTAAGTGGACTTTAGGTCTATGATGGTTTAATTATGTGGGACTCAAAATCTAGTTTTAATACCTTTTATTCTATCACTTGATATTTTGCTTAAATGGAGCAAATTCCTCCATTTCCCCCAAAAAATGTTCTTTTCATTAACATGAATCGTGTATTCCAGCTGAAGAGTACCAGTTGGCTTTTGGGGCTATGCGCAAAATATAATAAAGTTGCTTTGTGCTGTATGTGATGGGAACACTCAACAGGAAATATACACAGAAAGTGGGATCGAGGCCCACAGCTCAGTTTTGTCCCAGTGGTTAATCCGGCCCTGTCCAGCCCTAGTGGGATGTCTAGTTCAACCAATGGCAATTACCTTTATTATTGTTCTAACTGTTTAATCATAAGTGGCTGTGGATGGCAGTGAGAGAAAGAGAGGGAACGTTTTATTAACTTCTAAGTGATTAATAGTGCTGTTGGTGTTTATCACCTCAGAGCTGAGGGAGAACAACAAAGACATAAACAAGCCATGACGGGCTTCTGTCTCACACCCGGCTGCAGAGCAACAGTCGATGAACTCAAAAATGATTATGACAAGTGCTGCTGTGATGAAAGTGAAATCTCAGTAGAATTTCGTAAGCTATCAGATTTCTGAATGATAATTCAGATGAACTTTGTCGAGACATTTTCCCTTAACATTTCACACAGATTTCATAATGTAATAGTTTTTGTTTTGAATACTTTGGCACAGACAGATGCAGCCGACAGCTCTCCTGCTGTGTAGATTGATGCTTGTTGAATTTGACAGCTTTATTTTAGTCCCGTTACTTCCCAGCTGTGTTAAGTGCATTCACAGAATGATCACTATTGATTTAAGATGCACGGAGGAAAGAAGATTCACTCAGACATGGATGCACACATGCTGATGTGGAGAATAAAAAGCAGCATCTGTCTGCCAAGTATCACGATGAACAACATCTCTTATTCACGGTAAATTAGCAGAGATCGCAAGTTGGGCTCATGTCTAGATTTACAGCCCTCGTGTTGTAAAGTCTTTAAAAGCACCGTCTTAAATGAAACCCAATGACTGAAATAAAACTTGCCATATCCCCTCCGACTATAAGTCGTTTCCCATTCATCCTAAGTGAAAGTAATTTTGGTATTATTATAAACATCTGCCCCAGATGTCGTCTGAGATCTGTGTGATGTTGAATATTAATATTGCGAATGCTGTCAGGGTACATGGGGTTTCTTGTGCTTCAGTCTCTTCCTGCTGTTACATTTCCTCCCCTGCTTTTCTCTCCCCTCCACTGGGCATCTCATTAAGACGGCTCAGAGATTTGTGTCTCTCTTCCTCCTCATATCTAATCTCTGATCTGGAAAGTCAGAGTCTACATACGTACAGCATATGTATCCCAATCTGGGTTTATCTCCATGGATTTATGGCTAGCACATGGGGATTCATGAAATGCTGTAGAAGAATCAGCCCTCCAGCCAAATTCTATTTTGTTTTCCAATTTATAGAAAGGCTTGCTTATTAATTTACATCCCACTATTCGTTCCAAAAGGGAATTTTTAGAGGCATATCAGTTAATCACCGCTGCCTTTGTTTGCCCGTTCTCTGACCAGATCCTGGAGGCGCTGGCGCGTAATGATGACACGCTGGTGCAGATGTGCGGCAGGTTGAGTTCCAGCTGTGATGTGATCCCAGAGGAGCTGCAGGTACGCTTCAGTGCCATGTGTGGGGAGAGGGTGGAGCACATCAACCGGCGTATCACCAACTACAGAAAGGTAACGAAAAGAGGCTCTTCATCACACTCTCCGCTCCGGATGATATTTATTCTCCACCATGAACTGCATATGTATATTTTTAAGCAGCGTGGATCCATGAAAATGTACTCTGTTGTCATTTTTCTAGACTGACAGTAAGAGACACAGGATGCAGCAGGTGTAGAAATACCACTTTTACATATTTTTTCGCTGTGTTTGTTTTGTCACTGCACAGACATCAACACGCAAACACAAGCGTCGGCGTCTGAAGGCTCCTGCACTAAAATGTAATCAGTTCTCACTGAACTGAGACTGAAGGACGAAATATTTAGCCAAGATGTCTGTCGTTTCTGTCGACTTTGGGAATACATGTGCAATATGTAGGATTATCTGGTGCTTTGTTTGTGATTAGGTTACAGCTGGTTGTTGACGGAGCCAAAGTGTTTTCATCACTTTTCATTCACATCTGTGAGCATGTGTAGGCCAAACATCCCAATGTGTGCAAAAAGTGCGTGAGAGGGAAAAAGGAAAAGATCTGACTCAACATTAGAGCGGGCCTTGGATTAATTACCAGTCTCTTATAAATAGCCATGCACAGGCACAGTCAGGACTTTTGTTGTGTAAGATCCCCTCCTGCACTGGAGCATTCCTTCTCAGACCCCTAGAGAGAATAAGAGGGTTGAAAATGGAAGAATAAAAGGAGGAGGAAGAAATGAGAGAGAGAGGAAGGATGAAAGAGGGAAGACACAGAGACAGAGAGATGTTAACCTGAGGCCTGGAAATAAGAGTCCACAAACCTCTAGAGACAAGAGATGTGGTGAGACTCTTCAGACTCAAGAGAAGGTCAGCACGTGGTCCATCTGGAGCATATCATCAACCTCGGATAGAAGCTTCTTACTCCGGCTATCTGAGAGAACAGGGAAGACATGTTTGGGTTAAGCTCCTCAGCTGACAGACACATTATGTTATGCTTATGTTGCTTGACAGCCCAAGTTGCTAAAAAGCGATCCGGTGTGGCTCATACCATCTGCTGTGTAACGTCCAAGACAGGATGCAGGCCCTGTGATGGAGGGTTCAAGGAAAGTGCAACCAAATGTTGCAAAGAAAAGAAACGTGCTTGTGATATTCCGTCTCAGCTCTTTTGGATCCGAGCAGTCTGTCGAGCTCCCTTGAGTTTTTGCATGGAGATGCTATCTCGTGGAACATTCAGGATGTTTCCTTGCACAGCAGGATTGGGTGGATTTAAATGTCTTATCGAAGCTCTATATAGCATTAAGCCACCCGGAAAGCTATTTCTCATTGAACAATGTATACAGGATTCATGTGCTGTTAACTTATCTGAACAGAAGATTTACTTTATTTGAAAGATCAACATTTTCACTGGAAAGAGTGACGAAAATAAACAGTTCCTTGGCAATAAATTGAAAACATGAACTAACCCAAATTAAATTAATAAAATCATTTCATCATCTAATCTCATACCATGAGGATATGAGTTTAATTAAATCGACATCAAGTTAAATGATTAACGGTCATGTTGGAGTCTGGAGTTCTTCACTTATGGGAGCGATGACGATGTTAATGCGTCTGTCTTGAATCTTTGCTTTGGGTTAAATATTTGAGCTGCCACTTACAAGATGAGGAATGTAGGAAATACTATGTGAGCTTGTGCTTTTCTCATAGCGCCAACTGTCACGTGTCTAAAACAAAACAGCACATTTAGCTGACAGATATTCTCTGGTGTGTTTCACATAGAGCCTTTTACTCTCGTGCTGGCGAGGTACACATCAAAATTTTAATTATTATTCCCCACCTTTGATTACCTTTGATTATAAACCTACCAGCCAATATCATAGGAGAGCATCCTCTGCAGTTTATGCTATTATAGTGCAAGATCTCTACCCATATTTCTATCAAATTGTCTTTTCACTTTACCCGCGTTATCTCTAAACCATCCATATGTCTCTTTTTCTCCTGTATGACAGTTTTCCCGGGTACTGAAGAATAGAGCGTGGCCCACCTTTAAGCAGGCTAAAGCCAAGGTGTCCCCCCTCCATAGCAGCGACTTCTGCCCTACAAACTGTCATATCAACGTGATGGAGGTGTCCTACCCAAAGACCACCACCTCTCTGGGTAGTGCCTTCGGTGTGCAGCTGGACAACAGGAAGAACACGATGGAGAAGGGAGGACGCAGCAGTGCTGAGCAGGGTGAGCGAGGATAGGGTGCATGAAGCACACCTGCACAGTAGAATAATGCTGAATAATACATCTGAATCTGGTTGGAATTTACACTTTTTTTTTTTTACTGGTGCTCTTTTGTGTCGCCTCAGGTAAGCTAAACCCGATGGTTAACGTCCAGCATACTATCACCACGATCGCCGCACCATCAGGTCATAGCCTGGGCAGGACAGAGGGTCACGGCCTTCGCTTCCTGCTCAGAGAGGAAGACCTGCTCATCCTGGACTCCTACCAGAAGCTCCTCTACAAACTCACCATGGTGGTCAAGGAGATGGAGACGCACGGTGCCCATATTCACGAGTGAGTGGCTTTATGTGCATGCTTAATGTATATGAAACGCCTGTACCTGAATGTAGAGATTCAAGTTATTATGCAAAAATAAACGCACACACAAGCAACACACGTTTACTTTCTCACAGGCTCAATCCCATGCAAATCCTCCCCATGTGAGCCACAGCGTTACATGACCTTAAGTTTAAGTTTGAGATTGATCCATTCAAACAATTTTCTCCCTTATTGCAAAAGAAATGGTGAAATTGATATTTTTTGAAAGCCTTCAAATCACTTCTTATGCGTCCGCGACAGCCGTGGCCCGAGGCAAGGAAGTTTCACACAAATGTATAACAGGGTAAACCGATGAAGTGGTGATAGATATGGATTTACACTGCAACTTGACTGGTTCACAACCACGAGGAGGTAATTCTTGTTGTTTATGACGGCAAAACACACCCTCCCGCCGATTCTGTTCCACTTGATTTGAAATTCCCTTTGAAACCAGATTGCCTCATATAACACACTGTAACTTTAGCAGCCTGCGTGGTCAGTGCACTGGCAAACACTTTCGTCATTACTCTAGCACCTGTGTGTGTGTGTGTGTGTGTGTGTGGGGTGGGGTGGGTGGGGGCGTGTGTGTGTGTGTGTGTGTGAGAGAGAAAGAAACAAGTTATTTTGGTGGTTTTCTCGACCATGCCTCCGCACAATTTGTGCACATTTGTATGCCCATGCTTCATTTATGCTCTGGATTTTAAATCCGATATGGTATGTGTGTGTGTGTGTGTGTGTGTGCGTGTGTGTGTGTTAGATCAGTATTCCCTGGCTGGAATCTGTCTTCAACACGGTCGCCGGGTTAATTGTTTGGAGGCACATGAGGCCATGGGAAGGAAATGGGAAACACTGCTCCAGTTCTACTTCCCCCCCCAAACAGGAAATACAATCTCTATGATGTAAAGGTGTGTCATTAGGCCAGGTGCCCTCTGGAAATGCCATTCATGGACCAGAGATATGCGCATGCACAGTACACAGAAAAGCACACGCACTTACTTATGTGTGTACAGCTATGGTGGACAGCTGACGTATGTGTTACGAATCTTCAGATGATCATTCGGAGGATAAAAAGTCGCTAGATGGAGAGTAGCTGTCCCCTTATGCAGCCGTGGTAATAATGAGTGGAGTTCACAGCAGGGCTCTAATGACTGAGTCTGGACACATTTTGTCATGCTCCCGTCGGTGCCAATTAGTAGAATCGTATCCACGCTCTTTCAAATGGTCCGAGACACAGCTAGTGAGGGGATAATGACTTTTACCATCCGCTATCTGTTTGAACATGCAGACGTACACACACATGCACACTTCAGGAGCTTGTTAAGAGTGAGCTGTGGGGTGGGGCCTGAGTGTTTCACAGGACTGGAACTAATGTGGGTTGTGTAGCTAGTAGCTGCAGTCTGGAGGCATTGCTCTGACCTCCGTGAGTGTGTTCAACACCCCCCGAGTGCTTCATTATGTTAGTTTGCACCTGTTCGTTGACTGGCTTGGGGGTCACTACTACTACTACATGCCCCATGATTCCTCTCCTAGCTCTCCTTTATTTCTGTGCCTCTTTGTCCTGTCTCATTTCCTCCATGACTTGGTTTCTACACATCCGCCTGCACACTTAAACGCAGACATTCGTCACTCTCTGTGTCTCTTTCTCTTTCTGTACTGGGTGTGCCTAACTTTGACAGCACAACTTCCTAATGATGTAATAATGAACTGAAGTGGCCGTATTTATGAGGGCTCTTTTGGCCGTGATGTCAAACGCCACCCCCCTCCGTTCTCAACCCAAAGTCATGAGAAGAAGTCTATGGTACACTCACCAGAGATTAGAAACATCCTCAAGTATAATGTTACATCATTTCTTGGCTGATTCTGGAGGAATCCATTTTGAGGCAGCGACCTGTGAACCTTTGTCTCGGGGGCCACAGATTAAGGGTCACAGCTGTGTGAGGACGTGCCTCGCACAAGGGCTTGCTGTATATCAGGACCTCCTCCCTTCCTGGATTTCCTCCTCCATTTTAACATATTTTCTTTACTCTGTGCACATCATTAATTGCGTCCTGAACGGCAGCGGTTTCGTAGCTATAGGGTCCTCTGACCTATTTACCCCAGTATGGATCAAAGCATACAAATATCGAGGAAACTGCCTGATGTGGAGCTTTGTAATGCAGATGCACTTATAGATGCTGCAATGAATGAAGGCAATTGATGTCTAATGGTTTAATGTGTTGAAGTGGGTTAAAGAGCTTCCTGTGGGAGATTGAGAGATCTTTCTGATTGCTTGCGATAAGCAGTGGCGTACTTTGGTCTTCTCTTTCGCGCTCTGTATTTTCCCCTCTTTCTCTCTGTGTTGAAGTCCCTCCTCTGATCCAGTCATTGTTATTCTCCCTTGCTCCCTCCGATAGTTTGTGCCCCAAAGGCCCCAAACTGCGCTCACTTCTTTATTAACTGATAGCCAATCACAGAGCCTGGAGAGCTTCTCCATGGCGACGGAATGCCACACTGCTTTGGAAGGGGCATTGTGGTGGCTCCTGGAGTGGACCATAATGAGGGCATCTCTGTGGCCCAGTCAGCCCAGTGAATGGGTAGAAAGGGGGTCAATGGAGAGAGAGAGGGAGGAATGAGGGGAAAGGAGAGGTGTTTAAAATCATAAAGAGGCATAAAAAAAAATCTCCGATGCATTTGGGAAGAACGAGGAAGACAGGCTGTTTATTTCATGTAGCACCGAGCAGCTTCGAGGAGCCCTTCTCCTCTGCCTCCGCTCTGAGACTCCCTTCAGGCCGATGTTATGACACAATGGAAAATGTAAGCGGACACAAATTAGAATGAGGCTGAAATGTAAACAGACATCGCGTGTCACAGTGTGTGCGTGGAGGGAGATTAAAAACAAACAAAAAAAAAAGTCCAAGCCAAGCATTTATTGGAATATGGGTCTAAATGCCAACATGTGTTGGTGCAACTGTGAAAATATCCTGGCCCGCCTCTTCCTTCTCTTCTGATAGCCGTCTGATAGAATACGGGCCAGCTGTAGCAGCGAGAGTTGCAGCGTGTTGACACAGCTGTACCCTGCTGCACGTTTGAACCTATTAATACGACGTGGAGCCAATGACCACCTGAAGCTGTTGTGCGGAAGCCGAGCGCAAACAGGTTGGGAATTTTGTTTGGCACACGCAGTCAGCTGTTGGAGCCCACGCACACGTACAGTACGCACATACTGTACATACTGTATTTACATTTCAATATGTCACAGTGCTGGAACACATTCAAGAGCCTCCCGCGTAGCATTAGCGTGATCAAGGAAGCTGTTTCTATCCCGCTGTGTCAAATGTCATAGCCGTTTGAAGTAATCCCTCCTCACTGTTTTCCTCTTCCTCCTTTTTTTTCTTCTCTCCATCAGCCTCTTATCCTCCATCACCCATCCTCCGGCGTCAGAGGCGAGGACCCCGGAGAGCTACATATCAGCAGAGAGTGAGGGGGAGAAAGGGGAGCGGAACGGGAAGAAAGTGTGTTTTAATGTAGCGGGGGACGAGCAGGAGGACTCCGGACACGACACCATCAGCAACAGAGACTCATACAGGTAAAAGCAAAGTGAAAGGTGGTTACACAAGCCGCATACGTATACAGTACTATATAATGCCATGTCGTAGAATTGCCGACCATATTGTGGAAACTGCTGGCCGGATATATTTTCTCCTTAACGTTTATCGTCCTGTTTCTTTCTCAGTGACTGTAATAGCAACAGGAACTCCATTGCCTCCTTCACCAGTATCTGTAGCAGCCACTGTAGCTCCTACGTGCACAGCGATGAGATGGACTCAGGTACACAGAGGCAACACAGCGGACATGACTCTTCATCACACAGTAGTAAACGTATAGGGCAGACACAAATAATATAACTTTCTGTATTAATCACAGTTGTAATTAATTCACCATATAACATCTATATGCCCATACTCAATGAGAATCAAAGTTGCCATCTGAATGTCATAATCCATAACCCCAATCAACCGCAATGTTGCAAATTAGTCCCAAATTAGGCCATGATTACAAGCTAACTGCATGATTACACCTTCTAGAAGACGAGAACAAAAAAAGCTTAAAGTTGAATCTAATTGGATCTGACAGGCGTTTGGCCTCACATCTCAGCTGGAAATGTCATTAACATCTTGCACAGCTGTGTATCCTGTCAAGTGTCCTTCCCCTCTGTGTCTTAGGATGTCTCTGTCACACAGCCATACACACACACGCATCGCAGCTCTATGGGATGTCAGATATCCCCCCTTGTTTTTTATTATAAAAGCTGACATTTGAAAGAAACAATAAACAGACACACACACACACACGCCGGATTTGCCATCATACATGTGTTGATGCATTGAGACAGCACACAGAAAACGTCTTTAAAACGGCACTTTAGTGGTCTAATGCTGACAAGTTGTAACCACCCCTCTGCAGGAGATGAGATGCCCTCCAGTGTGTGGCTGTCCCATGATAAGCAGAAGAAGCTGCACAGCTTTCTGGAACATCTGTTTAGCCAGGTGGGTCCGATGTTTATCTGTGCAGATGTGATTGATGTGACTTATTAGTGGAAAGCCTAAGAAACTAACTTTCTCACTCTCTGCAAGTTCTTGTCCTTGAACCTGAAATCCAGTTTCTCTCTCGCAGATAAACATTATTTTAAAACTTAATATATTTTATTGATCCCCAACAGGAATACTTAACTTTTCTTTCATCTTGTTTCTATCTTTCCCATTATCATATTTCATGTGCAACTTAATGTTTCTAAAGGGCATAATGTTTTTTCGACTTTTGTGTATGAAGAACAGGATTTGTGTGGGTTGTTTTTTTCTGACTCGTGTTCAGGAAGTGAAAATCGTAACAGCCTTGAGCTGACCCATGACCTTTCTGAGACCTTTGGAGCAAAGGTTGACCATATCTGATTATGCATACACCAATCCACAAGAAGTTTTATGAGGACGTCGCCATCGGCAGTGGAGAAGCAGAAAAAAACCATGCTTTGCTGTGTCTGCACTTTTCTGCTGCTTCCTGTCGTTTGTTTTATTGTAGAGCAGTTTCCCCATCTTTGTTTACACACTGCATAGCAAATTGTATTGGTTCTCTGTGGGATTGTGTGTGTGTGTGTGTGTGCGTGGGTGTGTGTGTTACAGAGAGACACAGGTGTTGGTTATGTTTGGGCAGCAGTTTGTGCTTCCTTGCAACATACTTTTGATATTGGCTTCATGGGAAAGTGTATCATGTACGTGCACCAGCTTGACACTTGTGCTCTTTTCAAGGTGGAATCCATCACCAGCATGCTGAGAGGAGCAGTGGTGACTCGGGCGTTCGAGCAGACAAAGTGCTTCACACCTGGAAGAGGATTACAAGGTAAAGCACCGGGACTGTGATGTGCTCCTCCTGGCTCTGAAACACTCATCTCTCAGCATCTTTTACCGCATCTCATTTCACAGTAGTCAAACCATTTGAGCAAGAAATGTCTTAACTTCCTCGCAAAATGTCTCAATTTCTGCTTTAGCAGTAAACGCGTCTCCAGTGAGGAATGTTTTTGTTATGGTGGAGCTGTGCTTGGTGGGCCGCACAGTGGGCCTGAGAGAAGAAAGATAATATTGGAGAAACTCCCAACCACCGCCGATACTGAGAGAAAACAGGACACACGCTGAAAATGTCGCAGCCGCCTGCGCATAGGGGTTGCAAGTTCCTGTTGTGCAACGTGTGTGTGTACACAGATGGGATTGTAGAGACTTGGGGAAAGTATTGTAGGTGTAGTCCAGCTCCTAAATAACTGATTCCCATCTATCTTTTCTCCCTCCTGTCTTTTAACTTCTTTTCCCCTCCAGCTATCCCAGTGCCCTTCACTCTGAAGCACTTTATAGTGTTGAAACAGCACCACTTAGTTGTGTACTCATCTCCACTTCACAGTTATTGTAGTGCTACTTAACGGTCAAAGGGAAATGTGACCTACTAACACCTCTTGTTCTTGTGTGTTATCTGATCATTTTGTGTTGTTTGCCACCTAACCTCATCTTTAACCACCGCTGTCTTTTGTTACATTTAATCTTTCACAGAGAAATGGAGGAAATGTTACTGGAAGGGGCTAAATGTATCCTTATCATTTCCCACTAAACATATAAACTAGCTTACGGTGCCCTTTCATGGTCCGTGGAACATGACGCGGCCCTTTTTGAAGATTAGATTGAAAGAACACTAAGCTCAAAAGCAACAATTGTTTTCTTTCTTCTTTGAGTAAGTAGTGGAGGCAGGGTTCCCAGATTCTCCAAAAAAATGATGACTTTATGTTTTGTATCTGGGTGGTCTATATTGTACTATGTAAGGCTTTAATAATCTCTGATATGAAAAGACGTTTGCTTATTTTATGTCCCTAAATGTGACTTTAATGGAGTGTGATGAGCACTAAAAGCAGAAGAGCAGATTACACATTTCTTCTGTATGTTGTGAAGCTTCCAAACACCCCGACCCAATTGGCACACACACACACACTCACTTCTCATCTCAGGCTGTCTTCAAGTGAGCGCAGATATGCTTGAACTGAAAATAGGTCTGCTTGTGTGCGTGGGTGTGTGTGTGTGTGTGTGTGTTTGTGTGCATAAATGCCCTCAGGAGGGATGTGAAGGCCTTGATCAGAGTTGATCCATCTCCACTCCAGTAATGTGTGTGGTTGATAACAGAGCAAATAGCATTATCTAACAAGTAGAGCATTGCTGCATATCTGATCTCTCACTCTCTCTGTCGCCCTCAGAACCACACACACACACACACGCACACACACACACACACACACACTCACACGCACTATTAAACAGCCACCACTCTATCACAGATCTCTTCTTTCGTCTCCAAAGTAAACTTTATTACAAGCCTTTCCGTCCGATTTAAAGAGGGGTTACATCAAATTGACAAATTGACTTTTACACTGCAAAGACAAGAAAGATTAGATTGTAGGTGGTCTAATCATAAGATCGTTTCTCTCTTTCCTCACTAGTTATTAATGCAAGATATGTACAAAGGCAGTTTGTCATCCACTTTCTCTCTATGCAAATTGTGTCTTAAAGTTGACACACATACAGCCATATACCTTTGCCAGGCCAAAGCTAATTCTCTGTTTGTGTGCGTGTTTCTGTCAGAGTTTCAGCAGGAGATGGAGCCGAAGGTGAACTGCACCAAAAAGCTGCGTCTTCATGTCAAGCAGGATCCCTGGAACCTTCCCAGCAGCGTTCAGACCCTCACACAGACCATCGCTAAATATGTAGAGGGTGAGTGTTTTACCTGAACCCTTCCAGACAGGGTTAGGACTAGAACCGCCGGGAGGGTCATCTTTTACCCCCTGCTGCAACAGCATCAGCACTCTCAATGATTTCATTTCTTGAAGCAGTTAAGTTGTTTATTTTCATCATGGCGGTCTGATTAAACAATAGGCTTGCTAGGCTACCGGGCTACCGGGCCCACACCCCCTTTAATTCACTAGATGATAATTAAACCCATTTAGGAAAAGTCATGAACCAAGAGAGGGCTTTTATTTTAACAGAATTACGTGAATTTGAAAACGCCAGACGGGGAAAATGACCTCTTGGCTGTTCTAGTGTGAACACATATTACTGTTTGGGGCCTAAGGCTTGTCTGCAGACACAGCCACATATAGTATTTATCATGGAAAAAATGCCAGGCTTGGGAGGTAGTGTGAAATTGACCAATTCTCCAGTGCACCTCATCATATTTATTGGTTGCAGTAATAGCCTGTCGCAGTTGTGTGGGTACAGGCATTCCCAGACCGCTAACTGCATCATGGGATACATAAATTGGGGCCACATAGCTGGAGCTTAAACAATCAAAGAGCTGCACTCTGTGAGATGCCCTTGATTTGATTTTATCGAGACACGTAGGAAGTTCGGCCTCATTTGGTTTGTGGTTTGGTGTTTGTTAGCACACAGATTGAACATGTACATACAGACACATCCCAGCAAACACAGTGAGCGACAAACAGCCCAGACCCAAGGCCACATGACACTCCTGGGAAAGGTGAGCTGGCGGTCACAAACGAGAGAGTATATATATAAATTAATATTTATGTGCTTGGCCTGTGTACACCACTTTTTCTACCTCTCCCCATGACGTTTTTTTTTTTATGATATGACTATAAACAAATGTGGATTTATGTTATTATGTTTGCCTGTAGCTGTTTTTATTTCTTATATGTGAAGATTAACAGCTGTGGAGCTGGGCTGGGGCAGAAGAGTTATACAGCAATGGCCTAGTCACGACTTCAAGTGGTTGAGTTTATAGTGTAGGTCATACTATTGCAGTCAAGGAGAAAGGCTCTTTGGGAGCTGATATAAGATTGCTCAGTGCCTCACTGGATTGCTTTCATTTGTTTGTTTTTTTCAGAGGTGAAGACACGTCTGCTCTTGGTCTTACTACAGTATACAGGTTTGTCTAACTCTGCTCTTTCACCACAGAAATACAGAAAACTGTCCCGACTGAAACTATTTTTTTGCCCAAAAAACAAGGGAATAAAACCATACCCTTTCAAAGACAAAGCAACCCTTACAGGCAACCCAAAGAGAAACACACAGTCGCACATAGAAGGTTTTTTAAACCAGGAAAGACAGTAAGAAATTAAGAATTTAGTTGCAAATGATGCAGTTTTTCTAACTGAAAAATGGGTAACCCATGACATACAGTGAATCCACCCTCATTTAGTGTGAACCTACGTATTGCCACTATTCTGCTGAACCTGTTACTTTATGCTTTGTATTAATTTTATTCAGTTTGTGTTTTTTTAAATAACAAAACAAAAAAAAACAATACAAAGAAAGTAAAGAAATACAGCACCAACAAAACAAAAGGCAGCATTAATTGATATTGTGGTTGAAAATCCATATTAATCATTTTGCTGGCAAAAGGCTAACAGCAGTGCTAAACTCGGAGAAGGACTTCATAGTAGAAACTATGCTAATTCAATTAAATGTTATGTTACTCTACATACCTCTAGGAAATATGAATTTATAAGAAAAAGTAAAAACGGCTGGATTTCTTTTTCTGAGGTTATGGCGGGATGAATTAATGGTGTCAAAAAGTAAGCAGTCGTGCCTTATGACACATTATTAATTTCCGAGGGGTTCATGAACTCATTTTTAACTCAGTGGATTGGTGAACTTTTTCAGGGGGCCTATTTCTCAGCAAATTATGGCAGCAATTATTTTCCCTCGGGCACACCTGTCTTTTGCTCTCATTCCTTTTCCTGATACAATATTTAATACCCTGCAGATCTTTCTTTTTAAAAAGCAGCCACTACTTTTTGTTACCTTACTAAAAGCTTGCCACAGCATAGAGTCTGACCAAAAAGGTCGTTTTGATTATCATAACAAACTCATGCCACTTATTTCTATCTCACTCGGTGAGTATTATACTGGCTTCATTTCTTTTCTGACTATTCTTTTCACTTTCTTGTACTGTTTGTGATTTCTGCTATGGCTGTCCCCTCAGCCTCACGTCCTCTTTGTTGCCCCTCTAGACTCTGAGATCCAGTTGCGTCGAGATATGGTGTTCTGTCAGTCTCTAGTTGCAGCTGTGTGTGCCTTCTCAGAGCACCTACTGGCTGTCCTCAATCAGGTAAATTACACATATGTCTTGTTTAGAATCGGAAATTGAAAAAATGAGCATACTTATAGATACTATTGAGTCGGTAAGAAACACAGTAAGCGGCACCATCCTATATAAAAGCCAAACATTTTGGTTTTATTCTCTGTCTTAGCTCGCTACCTAACGTTTTTGTGTCCGCTCTCAGTTCAACAATGTAGGCAGGGAGTCGGACCAGGACAGCTCGGACCCCCAGGACCTTCAGGAGGCACAGGAAGCCAGCCACCGTTGGCTGGAGCAGATCGCCAGCGCTGGGCTTCTCTTCCATTTCCAGTCCCTCCTCTCCCCCAATCTGGTGAGCTCCAGACCAGCCTCAGCAGTTAATCTGCTTTAACAGACACTCTAGAAACAGGAGTTGCTGTCTGTATACAGTCAACCCATATGGGTTTGTTGTAAACTGACCAACGCTGTAGTTGTGCACAGGCAAAGAAATGAATATATATGAATATATTTGCATAATACAAAGATATTTGGGCTTTTTACTACACATTTTCCATGTGTACCATCCAATACGTGTAGCCCTCACATTCTGATAAAAAACTACAACACACACAGTAACAATCATAAATCGAACAATATGAATCACTGGGTTACAAAAGCATAAATGATGCAATATTCAACATTTTTTAACGTCTTTTAACGTTTCTCTGAATAAGTTTGAGGGTGAGGTATATCTAAGCATTTAAGAGGGGATCTACTAAGATCACTAAAATGTGCTGAGCTTAATACACTGTCTGCCCGCAGTGACTGTGTAGGGATGTGGTCTGAATCGTTGAGGTGTGCCGCTGATTCTGCAGAGCCAGATCCCACTGCCGTCTTCCCTCATGTGTTACTCAAATAACAGTTTCACCGTCATCTGGATCTGGGAATATTGTCGAAATACCCCAAAAAAGCCAACAACCAAAAACATAAGAAATTTAGATTTTAAATGTTTAAAAAAAAATCAACCGACAGTAATCAAAGCTCTACCTCTGCACATGGATTTAAACAAAATTTCTAAAATTAAATTATTAAATGCAAAATGCAATCTGCTCATCTGTATTGTAAAACAGCCTTGAAATTGCCTTAATGTTGAATACTTTGTATTCATGAGAGTAATTAATCTTGAAACTTGAAACATTCCCAGACTCAAATAGTCTTCAGGCTTTTGGTGTCTGACTACTCTTTTTTTTTTTCCTGCATGAATTTAAGTCAGTGCAGTGAAAATACCTTCCAGAGAGGAGTTCATTATGAGCAGCCACTGTCGATTGCTAAAATTGAGCTAAGCACACACCGTGACCTCACCGAGATCCTATATTAACTTTTCAATAATTTCAAAGTCGTCTTTAACTATGTTAGAGAAGCTGAAACTCAAATTTGAGCTGCCGAAGGGCTGTAATATATTCTTTAAAAGCTGTTATTTCCAGTGTTCCTTTTCTGCACTTTGCATCATCAACCATTTTTTTTTTTATTGGCATGAGGTATTTAGATTTGGTTTCTATTTTTATCACATTCTCTGGGAATTAGAAACACAGGAAGTGCTTTAAAAGTGTATTTTGGATGAGCCTTTATTTAGGTTAGACGGGTGTTCGGCTTACGTCAAGTCCTCCTGCACTGGTGTCGCTCTCTGTCTGCCTCTTTGCCGTTATTTCTCAAGACATTTCCCTTTCAAGTGTCCCTGTGGAACAAAACAGGGTCTCAGTACCTGCAGGTGATTCCAGTGAAATCTCAACACGCTCCTTTTCAGGGCACCACATGAAAGGCAGCATGAGACGTACTGGGGGATGCTGAATGTGCGTGTGTGTTGACGCCCACACACGGCGGGCGTCACTTGGCAGGGCAACGGGTACCCCGTTGTCACATGTCGGGCCATCTGAAATGTGTCTTTAGAAAACGGACCTAATCCTCTTTCAGCGCTGCTCTGTTTATCCCTCCGCATGTGGTGGATGAAGAGAAAGAAGGAAGATGACAGAGGAGTGCAGTGTCACGATCCGAAATATTCGAGCCGCTATCGCTGTGCCCACGAGCAGACGTGCTTGTTTGTGTGCGAGGATGCCGAGTGCATGTTTGAAGAGGAAAACATGTACACACATTCAGAGACATAGGCAAACAAGCAAACAGACAAAACAGATAAAGACGTAGGCATACACACACTGTCATGTTTGCAGATGGGTATGTGAGCATCCTCTCACAGTTAGAGATATGGCGTCTTTTTTGCCTTTTTTACCTTTTCCCTGGTATGTTACTTATTACGTCCGAGTGCAGTAGTTACTAGATTCTTTGCAGGTTTAGATTTTAGATACAAACTTTATAAAGAGCTTATTAAGCTTCTTCCGATACAATAACCCAACAGTATTATAATCTGTACATACAGTAACAATGTGACACTGTAAAAGGGGACTTCCTGCATCTCTTCACATCTATTTTAAAACAGGATATACAGTTTCATGAAATTAAAGTGACAATGGTGATTTGTTAACAAGAAAACATATCGTACAAGAAAAAGAAATCCAACTAGGAACTACAACCTGTAGTTACCCCCCCCCCCCCCCTCCCTATACTGACACTTACACACACAAATACACACACACATACACACATGCATAAACACTCAAACTTAAAAAAAGACAGTATGACATTGATAATGTTTCCGTATTCTTACCTAAGTGAAATTTTGAATGCAAGACCTGGATTTGTATTTTTACATTGTTTGATACAGACCGGTGTCGATTTAAAGGAAAGTCACCAAGCCATTGATGACATCACTGGAGGAAATTAATTAGACATCACACATCTCCAAAAAAAAAGGCTTTATTATACTTTTCATGCAGTTGTACTCCACAAAACATGTTAACAGATTTCGATGTGTAAAATCGATGTTGGAGTTCCACTTTATTTTTTCATGAGTGTAGCTACTTTTACTAAGAATACGATCTGAATACTTCCTCCACCACAACACTCTTACAAGTATGCTCTCTTTCTCTCTTCAGACTGACGAGCAGGCCATGTTGGAGGACACTCAGGTGGCTTTAATTGACCTGGAGAAGGTCACATTCTACTTCCAGCAATTTGAAGGGGAGCCACTGGTGGCCAGTACGTACACTAACACTTTTAGCTTACATTTGACTTGCATTTGTTTCATTGTGTAATTATAGTCTCATCATTGCTACTAGATTGAGTTTTAAAAGTGCCTCCTCTCCTCTCCTCTCCTGGCAGACACGCCCATGTCATACCATGTGGAGGGCACCCGTCAGGCCTTGAAAGTTTGCTTCCACCTTGAGAGTTTCTACTTCTCCCAGCTGCCTAACAGGCTGAAAAACGGAGGAGGCATCAAAATCTACCCTGTGCTCTTCACACAAGGTATAGTGAGTCTGGTTTGGGAACTTTAAGTCAGCAAGTAGTGCAGGGATAAAAGCTGCTTTATAGCTTCTTCAAAAACCCTGGCAGGTAGATGCACAGTATATATGCAGTGGTTTTATCACTTTATATTTCATTCTTTTGTTTCACCCTTCTAGCGCTGGAGAGTATGGAGGGTTACTACTACAGAGACAACGTGTCGGTGGAGGAATACCAGGCCCAAATCAATGCTGCCTCGTTGGAAAAGGTCAAGCAGTACTACAAGAGACTGAGGTATGTTGTACAAGACTATAGACACAGATATTACTTTGTCACTACATATCTTTTTTTATAGATATAATACGAATCAAGATGACCTACCATTCAGTCGGGCTTTGACTCTCAATGCCCAGCAGGGCCTCGAGGTGATTGGTTGAGAAAAAAAACACAGCGGGAGTGTTTTATGATTGGCTGCGAACACACACTCAGCAGGGGCAGCAGTGATTGGATGAGAGCGCCCAGCGTGTCACCAGTTCTGATAAAGTGCTTCTGTACAGCTGCTGCACTCCGCTACCTCACACCCCATTGGTTTGCTGCACACCCGAGACCCTCTGTGATTGGCCAGGCGTGGGCAATTTAATGAGGTGAAAACAGATATGGAGAAACAGACACGTCTGGGAGTTTAAAATAAGGGCCTGGCTTTATTTAATCTCCTGCATGTAAGAGTGAATGTCAGGAGCTATACAGTATGCTGTCTGAATATCAATGTGATTTCATATTAGATGGTACCTTGTTTATTTCAGTGACTGAAAAACTAGCTGTGTTTAAAATGTTGCGAGAGCATTTGAATGCACGAAACACATTAAGTATTGCGAATGAGAAAACCTCAGAGTCTGTGTCATTAAGATAGAAGATGTAGCTTTTGAAAAATGGCTTATGTTGGTGTAAGTAGAGAGAGAGAGAGAGGGAGGGGGATCACTGAGAGAGATACTGTAGTGTCAAGATAAACAATAGACTGATACCATCTTGGAGATTACGCCAAGAGTGCGATCCCTCATTGAATACCTAGGAGGGCGACCGGTCGACGCATCAGCTTCTACTAAAACATCTGCTGCTGATTGTGTGGATAATTAAACAGAGCAGAGCTCACAGCAAAACTCCATCTTGTTATTTAGGGACAATCTACATTGAGGGGCTGAATAATTTACAGCTTGAGCGGTCATGTGTCACATCAGTACCGATCCTCCGCAGCGAGACATTCATTTACTGGGATTGCTTTCCGCTGAGAGTTTTTAATTTGTTCGTAGTGTTTTGCTTGACGAGTGAAAAGAATTTGAAGCGTTCATTTTCTGCGAGTGTCAGATTTCCCAAAGCGCCGTTGTGGATACGAAATTGTGCTGGGTCATTTAATCTTTTTCGTGCATCGGGCCTTCTTTCTTCTCTACGTAATGATGTTGTCAGCCAGATCCTCCGGGACTCTACGACAGTTCAGTGGAGGAGTATTGGCATTCTGTGGTATCGCTTTCATTTTATTGAGTCATTGTTTGCAGACTGCAGATAGGACTTCATGATCAGTCTCTAAAAATGTCACTATTGTAATTACAATATTACATAGAGGCATTTATTATGTGCACAAATGTGTTCGGGCTCCTGCAGCATACACAACATTTTCCTAATAAATGTATATGTGGTTATAGGGCTGAACAATTTTGAAAACATATCTAATCGCAATTATTTTGACTGATATTGAAATCGTGAAATGAGTTGCGATATTAGAGATGATATTTTTTACATCCTAATTCTCATTTTCATTGAAAAACATATTGAAATGATTTTGGAATCCGTACCAAACAAAGATGTTTTCTTAAGTCTGTAGAATATGATGTGTTGTGCAGCCCTCTGTCGTCAAATGGTTCAAATCGTACATGCTGGACCTTACTTGTTCAGCCATGTGATTGAGAGTAGCCTGTGTTTTTATACGTATGCACGCATGTTGTGCATTTCAGTCTGACCTGGACAGAAAAGAGCCGAATTGAATTGACAGCAGAGGCTCCAGCAGTAACGCGGAGCAGATGTGGGCTGACAGGCAAGTGAGTGAGGCTGGTGATGTGGGGAGCATTAGCGGGGGTGCTGGGTAGGGATGTGGAGAGGCAGTGTGCTTCTAAACCCCAACTGGAGTGAAAGTGGTAGAGACTGTGCTCAAGTACTCAATCTTCTTTTCAGCAAAACCTGTCGTAGGCCAAAACTGCAGATAACTTCAGTCCAAATCTCATTAGCGTGTCTACTCTGCTGCACAGTGGGGGAATCAGTTAGTGTTGAGTTGACACATAAGGAATGATTCTTCATGCAAGTAAAAGTCCCCTTTTTCCAAGTAAAGCAAACAAATGCATAAAGTATTAATATAGTTGCTTTAATTATTTGTTGTTGATGGACTTGTGGATTCACCGAGCTGCAGCGTTATCCACATCACTCTCCAGGTAGTAATACTGTGAACACTAGTAAAACTAAAGCAGGCACCAGAAACATGTTCTTCGCTCCCACCCGGTAGTATTACCTTGTATTAATCACCGCAATGTAAATATTCCCAGCTGGTTTTCAGCAGCCAGTGAATACACTGTCTCTCTCTATGTAATGTTACCAGTAGTTTTCTTTCGCCGGCTGCCATGTGCCTTTCGGCTGACCACAGACCAGCCTCTGATCTCACTCCTCTCTCCATTGCAGCGTTCAAACCTCAGGCACCTCGTTATCCTTGGAGGCCGGCCACGGCAGTGTTGGGTTAAACCCACACTGTGGGCCAGAGCCAGAGGCTGACTGACAGACAGAAACAGCACACGCAATACTGAACTGAATGAACTGCAGCGCAAGATTCTTCAATGTTTTTGTGTCGTAAAATACACTCCTATTACACCATAGGCCCCAGTATTCATTTGGGAGCCCTTGGATAGTGTGCAAAAGTTGAATTTTTCACATTGCATGTGGAGAAATTACAGTGATGGCGATAAAAATTAGCATTTTTGTTGCTCATAATAATGTGGAACGCTGTCAAGACGAAACATGCTTTTCTGTGAATACATTTTTTTTTGTGCATGTTTTTCGTGCAAGCAAAGTCTACAAAAACTTTTATTTTTTCGTCTTGCTCCTCCACTGACGCCTTTGCCAGCGTGCATTGTGGGCATTATCCAATTTCAGAGTAGTGAATGATACCACTGTAAGGGTTTGTGTAATATTTCCCAGCAGCCTCTCTGTCTCTGGCTTACGCTTTCTGTACCCACACCAGATGCAGTATGATCAGAGCAAAGCCGTGGTGCCTGATGAAGTCACTCCGCAGAACATAAACTCACGGGCCAAATCACAAGCACATGGCTGGTGCCACGGGAGTCAGCAGTATGTGGAGCCAGAACACGCACCCACGTTTTCAAGCTTTCATAAACCATCTCAGCTGACATGTGCATTTAGATAGAAGAGGTCTGAAACACTGACATGGACCAAATGACAGTTTCCTTAGTCCTATTCCTGTTTCTCCTTTAGGTTTCTCAGCACGCAAGAGCAGGAAGACATACTTGAGCCGAATGGAGGGGATAAACTAATTGTCTCTAATTTTTCAGTCCCAAATTGTGAGATAAATTTGCAATTGCCTCCTCTCTAGTAGAAGGAAGCAACATCTAAAAAGGGGAGGAAATAGTATGCTCTGAACAGGGAACATCTTTCCCTTAAGGACGTAGTGAGAAGAGGGGAAATTGAAAGGGGACTATAGATCGCCAGAGCAGGTTGGTATGATGGTAGGGATTTCAGGGGAGGGATGAGGATGATGAGTAGAGGAGGAGGGCGTGAAAGCGAGTCGAACGGGGCAGAGTGGAGAGGGGAGAACCAGAACAGAATCTGCAAATGTATTATTCAAAAGGAGAGCTTATTGCAGGCTTGTGGTTTCATCACATTCTGCTAATATTGACAGGAGGGAATCGGGTTTTTTTTCCTCTTGCATCCTCTTTTGCTATCGATTTACGGAGCATGCTACATAAGCATGGTGTGAAAGAATAAAGAAGAAGGTCTGGAATGTGCTGCATGCTGTTTGCTGTTGAATCATATATTGATGTTGCAGGTGTGAGTGTAAGCAGATGTGTTAATATCAATAACTTCTGGCACAGCAGAGCTCTCACACTGCAGGCATTAGGCTTTTCTCCCTAATTGAAATGCATTTGGCAGTAGTGGGGACATGTTTGGCATTGCATCACAAGTCAGTCGTGAAATTTCCACATCTCATGGTGCCACGTCCCCTCGGTAAAAAATAAAATGCTTGATTTATGTGGATATTAAAACTCTACGCAGTCTGCCAAATGGTGTATAATGATGGCATGGTGGCTGAAAGATAAGCTATAAACTTGGATGTGTGTTGCTGTCTAACAAATGGTACATTGCGATTACTACAGACTTGTATTTCATGCTTTGTTAGTTGAACATCCATCGGTCATCACCGCACAGCTTCCAAGTCATTTGTGCTGGCAGCGTTTGCTCTCCCATCAGCCATTGGGAATTGGTAATCACACCACTGCAGGGCAGTTTGTCTTGATTAAGAAAGAAAGACTCCATGCGTATTGCAGGTCAGGGTGTCAGTTTCGACACTGTAGTCACTCCTTCCTTTGTCTCTGTTGGTCTGTGGCGGGAGCAGAGATCGATCCTCTTGTTCAGACGTGACCTTGTGTTAAGAGTTGCAGATGTGCTCTTAAAGTGCCGCATGCGTGTCAACATGATTAATGCGACTAGCTGATCAGTTCATGACCGCTGACTCAGTTTGTGCTTCGTTAGTCTTTATTACGTGGATATACACATTTGGACCCTCTTTTGCTCGTATCCTCGCAAACTTGCAGCTACAGCCATGTAAGCAAGTCTCCCAGGCAGCTATAGCTTCATGTAAATCATATTGTTTGTCCTACACGGACACCGCCAGAATATATGCTCAAAGAACAAGACAATGGATAGTGTTACATAACTTCAAGTCGTTCAGCACACAAACAACAACAGCACACATCTGTTGCTCAAAAAGCATTTTGCTCCGTGTAGTTGATGGTTCTTCTCCTCCCTGGGGGGGCAAGGCTATCCAGTAATGATTAGTATAACAATAGCTGCTGCAGCCAGTCCCCACTTCTTCCATGTGACATGCATTAGTATTGTAAACTGCTCAAACAGTCTTGCGGCAGTGCAGCTATTTTGCTGAAATGAGATTTCTCAGATGACTTCATCTGTAACCAGAGAAGTCGGTTCAGTTATAAAAAACACGTTTTATTTTGCAGTCATGAGTGATTTTGTATATTATCCTATTTTCAGAACAGAGGCAATGGCAATTTGGTCGTATATTTTTCCTAAACAGAGCCAGCGCTTTTTTTTTTTTCTCTGCGTCCCCGCCCCCCCCCCCCCCCATTTTTCGGAAGTGATGAAAATGCTACATTCTTTGCACCGGCAAAGGGAGTCCCAATTCACTGGAGCGCAGAGGAAGGGGCTTCTTTCTGCTCCAGCTAGTATGCACTGAACCCCTGTTCATAAACAGGCCTAGTGAGGCTGAGCATCAGAGACATGGTTTCATTTATCATTTCTCTTTGATTGAACGGCCGTAATGATGACAGTTCTGCACTCAGTGGTGCTTGATATTGTAAAAAAAAAAGTCCGTCTTTGAGCCACAAGAGGGGGCCTGAATGTTCGTTTTGTGATGGTTGTAGACTACTTGTATTCATTCACTCCGCTTCGATACATTTATTTGGCTTTGTGTGTATATGTTTTCAATAACACGTGCATGAAACAAAGTTGTGCTTTATCAAACGTATATGTCTTCAAAATGGCTAGTGTACCTATTGAAGATACCAGTAAAAAGGGCCAGGAACATTCATTCATCCTGTTGTGAATTGGGTTGCGATCATTTGGCATTTTTAAAAAAGTGGGTACCCAGAAATAAATGGTTGAAAAAAACACTGTTCTGTAAAAGCATTTATCTCAGGTGGGTTTGGAGGCTTTTTTTCTGCTGGCATGTGCTCCTGCATGAAGCTATAGTTGACATATAGCGGGAAGTGTAAATAGGAGGTAGGCGTGGGATAAGAAAATGGCCTCTAGCACACTTAACACTGCAGAAAGCATCACGGTGGCTCCTGGAAGCCCTCGTTAGCCCCCGAGGCCGCTCTGCCACACACTGCACTGGTTTGTGGGGGGATTTAATAACGGCGAGTGTAATTTATCATGGCAGTGTGAGTGATTGACATGGACCAGCATGCACCTCTGCAGGGTCACATTTAATGTTGTAAATAACATTAAATAACTTTACTTGCGTCCTCAAGAGTGAACACGTGTGAAACCAAACCCACAGAAGACTCCGTTAAAACACTTTTCTCGTGTCTCTCAAGGTATTTTAGGGATCATTTCTGTTTCTTTTGTACTTTTTTGAACGAGGGATGTCACGCTAATGTGCCCATTCCCACGCTGCTCCTCTGAAAACATCTGTGCCTCAGATCCTTCTTCTTTTGACGCCGCCGCTGACTACTAATGCTCCTTTGCTGTAAAGGGCCTTGAGTGTGCTATTGTCATGACGGAAGCAGAAACAAAGAGAATTAAGTATCCTCATCGGCCCAATAAAATAAAACCAGCTACAAGCAGAGCTGGTCATTTCTAGCCTGCAGCCAAGTCTTCCATTAGAGTGTCATGTAAAAACCGATCGGCTCTGTGTGTGTCGAGCCTGTTTCTGTAACCTTTGTTACACTGGCTGACAGATCACCATCTGTTGATCATCTGTTGAAATTCTGATTGGCGTTAAACTCCCCTAATTATAGTCGTCGTCATTATTTTTAAAATGTAAAATTGGAGAATGCCAGTGAGTAAAAGCCTCAATGTCCTGCTGGAGTTCAGGGGCTTAAACCTGAGAAAGCCGGTGTGGACGGGAGAAGAAACGGCAGACACCCAGTGGATTTAGACTACATATAATAACGTGTATGTAATGTGTTCTTAGCCTCACACTGTTGTGTTTGCACGTGTGTGGGCTTTAAATTTAATTTTTCATCCATAATAAATGTTTTCTAAGGTGCTCCGTTTCCAAACCTCTGACAAAACACCGTCAGCTCAGAAGATGTAATCCAGGTCCTCTTTAAACCACACTTGTAGCCTGACTCCTATTATTTTGTCATTAGAGACCTCCAGGAGAGTCGGCCCTGCTCCTCAAGCTGTGGCTGACAGTATTTTTAGAACAACTCTTACAACAAGAGGATGAGATAATCAGCGAGCGAAATAGATGTGCAGAGGTACCACCCGGTGCTTTTGTTTTGTTAAACGGATAAACAAATGTGTGCAGATGAAGTTCAGCTGAAGTCGACTTCTCTCGGACAGATGCTATTACATACATTTAAGATAACGGTCGGAGCAGCCGACCGATAAGCAGCAGGGACAAGGGTGAGTGGACTCGCTGCACACAGTTGAAGTAGACCACATAGAAACAATTTCAGGGCAAGGTTTTGATTTCCAATAAACTTTCTTTTGTGTTGTGCTCTGTAGCGATTTATCGCTTCACCCAATCTCGGCTCTCTCTTAAAAGAATGATGTTTTGTTCGGAAACGGTCGTATCTAACTTTTAGTTACTGCAGCCGGTTTGTTTTTCCACAGCAGCCACATGCTCACACACATACGAGACCCAGTATGGATGCCAGGTTTACTGTACTTTAAACTTTAATGAGGAAATCTAATATTTAGAGCTTTGAACAGTCGACCCAACTAAATATTAGCCTGTTACCCCTCATGTAGATTGTTGTGGCCTTTTATGCCAGTTAAATGCTTTTTACTATAGGAGTCGAAGGGGTGTTTGTTCCTTGTCGAGATGCGGTGTAACTCCTGGTCTACCATGCGCATCTTTTGAAGGATAAGGCCATCTTGAACCAATTACATGGGCTGTTAGCTCCATCTGAACCCTTAGCAAACTTTGCTCGTAGTCATTTAGTAGAACACGCCATAAGGTTTACGGATAATTTGCCGGATAGGGATTAATCTCCTGGAAAACCTAAGCAAGTGAAGATACAAATCTGGGCAGGTTACTCATCTGTGTCTGTTTAGTAGATTTATATGTGAATAGGAAACATCAGCTCACATGTCAGACCCACAGTCTCTGTGTACTATAGAGGCTTAAGGGCCTTGTCGTACGTACTGTGTGTGCACGTATGTTTCCCGACAGTGTGATGTCGGTAAAGTATGTAGTTAATCTTTTTGTGTGCATTATTCTCAACGACTTTTAATTTCACTGCGGCTGTTGTATAATCACTATATTGAATGAGGGATGTGTTAACTCTGCTCTGATTAATTAATTTAATTAATAATATGTCAGGCAGAAATACCCCAGTCCTAATGAATGCCTCCTTCGACTGATTTGAATCACTAAATAGCAGATGAATGAGCCCTGCTTGGCTGATTCTTGTAAATAATCTCCCTCCCTCAAAGTCTGCAGTTGCTGCATCTCTTAAAACCGTTTTTTATTTCTATTTGAGATTTCAGAAATGTGTACTCTATGGGTGACTGTGTGTTGTACATTATTATTGCTTCTGGCAAAGAAGTAATGGAGTATGTGATTTTATTACAAGGGGCTTAATGTGGTGTAGTGTCGCTATTTTTAGCACCCTGCTGGATTACTTAGATTTGATGGAGTCACAGACTGCTGAGTTTGCACCAGCAGCACTCCACCTCAGATGGACTCATTGCGGCATGCGTCTCCTCTGTCTGCATAATGACACCAGTCCGGTGCTGCCTCCGGTGGACGAAAGGAGGAAAATATCACCGAACTCCACTGTACTCCATGAATGAATGAATGAGGCAATGGCATTTGGAGTGATGCCCAGGACAAGAGATGCTTACTTAGTGTTTCTGCTGAGCTGTGTCCAAGTTATTCTCATGATTGATAGTCAGATGGTGGAGCTCCATAATGAGCAGGTGGCCTACTTTTCCCGGCCAGTGCTCCCGATGACCTAATGGTGCAGAGAAAAGAAAGCAACAGAGCTACTAAATAACAAAACTTGACAGTGATTAGTCTGCTGCAGTATGTTACTTAATGCACATTGTTTTCTACATCCCACTGCATTTCAAATATCAAGTTAGAATCACTCAATGTGGGAACTGTTGTTTCTTCCCCCAGGGCTTTCTACCTGGATCAGTCCAACATGCCGCCTAGCTCCGCACCCAAAGCTGCCCTCGTCGACAAGGTAAGAACAACCCCACACAACCTCATGCTGCATTCATGTTATCAGGGGAATAACTCAAGAACACGAGTAGATCTGAATGCTGCAGTGTGGAAAGTCGAACGATATGTAAAATCAAGCAAAGGAGAGCTGCGGCAAATTCCTTGCCACACCCCAACAGACCTCAATGGCCCATCAAATCCACAGACTTTCAGATCCTGAGACAACTCAAAAACTGATCCAATTCCACACAGCCATAATCCATAGCATCCTGTCATTATCATCTCTGCACATAACTAAGAAAATGAACAGAATTATCACCAGAGCATCAAAGATTGCATGCTGCAAACTCCCCACACTGGTCTCAATATGCACACAACTCACCATCTCACGTGCAGTCAAGAATCAGACGCATTTTTGCTGCGTTTTGCTCATTATACAGCTTGCCGGTGTTCTTCTTCCTTGTCGGATCCTGCACTAACCCCTCTCCCTCTGTGTCTGCCCAGCTGATGCGCCCCCTTAATGCTCTGGAGGAGCTGTACCGTCTGATGGAGAGTTTTATCAGTTGTCGCCGCACTGCTGCCTGTCAGTACACCGCCTGCGGGGCTTCTGGAGTGGGGCTGCTCTCTGTGGCCTCTGAGCTCTGCTCACGTCTGGGAGCCACACACATCGTCATGTGCAACAGCGGTGTTCACCGGTGAGTGTGTGGGCACACGTGCTGTGCATTTCTTCCAGCGCTGTATGAGCCACCTCCAGTCAAATTATACGTTCCTGCTTATCGTTTTCTTGCTTTTGACGGCTCTCTTGCAGCTCTCCGTTCTCTTTCATCTCTCTTACCCTCTTCTCACCTTTAAAGATGTCGACCACAGTTTCTCCCTGGTTCTCTGCACCTTGTTGTATCCTCCGTCTACCTCTCAATTTCATGAGAACCCTGCTCTCCTCACCATTGGGATTTTCTATAAATACACATTTCTCTGCATTAATTACCAGCAGCATATTCTAGTTAATAGGGCCCATTGTTTCTCAGTCCAGATGAGGGACTTTCAAGCACTTTACACAGGAAGGAGACGGGTCAATTACTTCCATTCTCATTTGAATTCTATATATATGGCAGCCTAATTCACCTGCAGCTGAGGGCACCATCTATCAGTGCACGAGAACAGAAATATCCTGACCGTTTGTCACCACTGATCCCCAGCTTTCATCTCTTACCTACGCTTTCCCTCCGCCCACCCACCCTTTTCTGTGACGCCCTCTTTCTTTACCCCGCGACAGTTTCCATATCTTTTCATCTCAGTCACATACGCAGGCTCACACACGTCCGCTTTCATGCGTTCGCCGGATGTAAGCGATAGCTTGATAAAGTGCTGTGGATGGAGCCGCCTGGTTGCCTGAGCTCTAATAGAAGGTTCCTGTCTGTGCAATGACTGCTACTACTTTATTAACCCACTGCCTGTGTCTGTGTGTCTGTGCGTGTGTGTGTGTGTGTGTGTGTCTGTGTGTCTGTGCGTGTGTGTGTGTGTGTGTGTGTGTGTGTGTGTGTGTGTGTGTCTTTGCAATTATACAGACTTGACATAACTCACCCAGACAGGCAGGCTAAGTGTACCGTGTCACAGCAGGTGACAGGGCCTGCCATATTTGGGATTATTTGTGAACTGGCTTTCTCCTTAAACACTGTTTTACCCTCCAAAGCTGCAGGCTGATGGACGTACTGCACTCACAGGAATGTGAGTTATCGAGGTTTTGCCTTATGCAAGTATCCACATAATCAAACAAACTAAATCTGCTATAATTGGAAAACCTATGAAACCAAGCCAGTAGATCAGTAATGTGAATATTGCATTATCAGTGTGGCAGCCTTCTCAGGCCCTATTGATTGGATTAGTTGACTTGATGGATGAGTTTTAATAACGGTGAAAGCGTGATATTTTGGGGGCATCAGCGTTTTGCAAAATGCAGCGCTGCTTTCTTCTCCAGACTTTTTTTTTGTCCATCACTCTTACAACACCCATTAGAGAGGGAAAAGGAGAGTTCACTGTCTGACAGCAGAACAAAAGACGATATCAGAGGGAGAGACGGTGTCACAAGCAGAAAGCCTAATCCACACTCCTTCGGCGCTTGCTGGCGTTCCATTCATTAGAGTCAAATTTCACAGAATACAAGTAGTTATTTCTCTGATATAAATATTTGTAATGTATACACTTCTCGCCTCCTCTTTCCTGCATCCTCTCTGTCATTCTTTGGCTTTCTTCGTGTTTGTCGCTCTCTTGTTTCTTCTCATTTATCAGAGTGGACTAGCTCTGGATGGAGCACAGAGTGTAAATGGGATATGGGCTGGAACAACATAAAACAGATGGCAATGAATCACCTCATACTATCTCACCAGCCCTAATGAAAAGGGAAGCCGTGCAGCCTGTCTGTCACACACACACACACACACACACAGATTTTGTGCAGTCCCTTCATCCTGCTCCAGCTGAAGAGATATTTAAAGATCCTCTGTGGGTGAATTCCTTTATTGGTGTAAGAAGCTCAAAATGGGTGCTTAAAATACTCTGGGGTGGCCTGCATAGGACAGTCTTTAGCAATTCTTCACTTGGATATCTCTTGGCACATACTGGAGACGATTGTTGAGTTCATTTCTTTCATCACATCATGTTACGCTGTCATAAGGTTATGTAACTGGAACTGTTAGATCTCGATCTGATTGACTCAAAGTAATATCTTCTGGCAGCAATAAGTTCCTCATCATTGCTCTTTTAAAAAGAACAAAAAAAAAAAGGTTTTCTCAGTTGGTGGGAAATCCTGCCACAAGAGAGGGAGATATTAAACAAACGTTTCATATTTCTTAGCAGCCCCATGGCGATGTTACTCAATGAAACCGAGCCTGGCAGCGTTGAAACTTTAGAGAGTTCAATTTGCTGCGAAGCGGCCCTGGATCGATATCAGAGAAAGGTCAACTGCAGCCTTGACACCTGTCACAGGCTCTCTAAGGATTTATCCACATCCTACATTCTGCCTGTGTGTGTGTGTGCGTGCGTGTGTGAAGGTGAGACAGAGTTTGCTGTAACTAATCAATCACAGAATCGCGTAAACACTCATTTTACATCACACCCTCATGGTGGCGAGAGTATACTGAGAGTATATGTCTGCCACAGGAGAGGCGCTGACTCGTACTTGGACCCTTTTTTTATCCCGGCTGCAATGGGAAGTATCAATCCTGAATCTCCTCGAGTGCTGAAAGTCCCCCCCCCCCAAAACAAGTTTTTTTATTATCTCTTTCTGCTCGGTCTAAAGCAAAGATCAGAAAGGTTTGTTACTCTCCTGATGTTACGTGCTTGCTCGCTGTCAGTGGCATTTCAGTGGCAAATGAAATGATTAATAAGCGGGGAGACGAGCGAAGGTGGAGCAGGAGCAATGTGAAGGCAGCGACGAGGTGCCAAGAGGAGCGAGATGCGCACAGCCAGAGTTGATATCGTCAAACTGAATTCTGTCAGACATTCATCATATCTGGAAGAAGCCCAGAGTTTGATTTTGGCACGCTTTTGTTTGCTGTTGACATTTGTTTCAGTCCTGCTTTCAATCTCCATCTGTTGCAAATAATACTTTCATTGCCATGAAAGCATGTTCTGCTGTTGAGTGAGGGGAGGTGTTTTATTGTCCCTGTAGATGATTATATTGTGTCAAGCACACGCTGTATGCTTTGATTGTTCAGCATGTAACAAATAGGAAGATAAATCATGTTTTTGCCGTAGCAAAACTGAATTAACTGACTAATACTCCGCATAAATTCGCAGAATCTGATCAATATTCAGACAGAGACCTCATGTTTTTTTCTCTCCGTCCAACAGCTGCACCCTGAGTGTGACACTGGAGCAGGCCATCCTGCTGGCCCGAAACCACGGCCTGCCTCCTCGCTGCATCATGCAGGCCACTGATGTCATGAGGAAACAGGTATGTTTCACACACACGCACAGCACTACACGTGTACATCGCCTCCGTCTTTATTCCTACTCAGCCTTCTGTTATCACTGCTACAGTCTTTTTTGCCTGCTACAGTCCCCGCGGTGACATTTTCTCACTTGGAGTGAATTTGTGTTTCAATCTCTGCATCCAGAATCATTAGATAAAACTGTTTGCTTCATTGAGTCAAATGTTGGCTGCCAACAGCATCGAGGAGCAGCTCTGCATTCCCTCTGACCAAATGAGGCAGTAAAAAAAGAGCAATGAGAAACTGAACAGATTGGTTGGGAGTCTGGAGCTTGTTTGTTTGTCAGCATGTCTATATGGGGTCAAGGGAAGAAATTCCAATTACTTTCTCAGTGCGTAAACATGTTCACCCCCACAAGAAGGCTCCAGCCATGACCAGATCTTGGCCCATACCTCAGGCAGTCAGTAGAAGGTTTGTTAGCGGTTGTATTGCTGTTTGTAGCGAGAGAAGAGGTTAGTCCAGAGCCTGATATCCCTTGGGAGGAGAGGCATTTAATTTCTGTACTCAGAGAACTGGGCTGCCAGCCAGGAGGATGCAACGCTGTGCATTGTGTGACCTTGAGTACTACTGTATGTGGCTGGGAAACAAAAAAAATCCATCTTGTCGAGGGTGTGTTTTGAGATGTTTATAATGGACTGTGAAAAAGGTGCAATGTGTCTTGTTTGCTTTCTGGTAGAACTGAACTTTTTGCTTTAATCGGGTCATTGTTATACGTGGGATTGTCATTAGACATTTTATGTTTTCTTGCATCATCATTAACATAAACACCACTAAGAACAGATGGTTCAGTCCACACAGAGAGAGCAGAGGGGATTCTGCACCGCACTGCCCGACTGTGTGTGTCTGTGTCTGTGTGTCCTTGCTCTCAGACATCAGCTGATGAATCTGATGAATATGAATGTATCACACAAGGTTTGGATGACGCCTCTTCTTCGTTGCTGAATAGTCGTACTCACTGACAAAAAGGTTATCTGCACAGCATCCAGTCCCAGCAGGTGCCACCCATCAAGCCCAGATGACATCCTTCAGAATGAGGTTGCATGAGTGATTTGGGCAAAATGGGTCCAATCACAGCTTGAATTTGCAAACATCTGCACTGCAGTTTTCACATTGGTCTGTATAGGAAGAGCAGAATAACTATCTAAACTAACTCATGATGTTATCCTTCTGGACCTTTTGTCTTCCTGTTTCAGAACAAGGAAGGAGCAAGTAACTGTTTTTATAAATGACAGGAAATGTAATGTATCAACCTAGAAATCTAGCGACAACTTCGTATGGCTGATCGAGACAGATCAAATAAAAAAAAAAGATTAAAAATGTTCTCCCTGGTGATATTTATTTCAATTTCTCATTGATGTTTCAACCATTAAGGCCTCAGCAGAATATTTAGTTAACTTTGAGTTGCAGAGACATCATTTATACAAGAGTCAGATACCAGGTTTTAGTTATTATGTAATGCAGAAATGAAAAATGAAGACGATTATACAAAATACATGCAGCATGAGATGTTTTTTTTAGTTTCTGAGATCTTAGGTATTTAAATCAAGTTCCACTTGTTGAAATAACTTTAAAGAAAAAGTTTTGTCTCTAAACTCATCTGATCTACTCTGGCCGCCGTGTCCTTTAGGGACATTTGGGGGCATCTCTGTCTGGAGGCATCAGAATGGATGGCTGTGATAGGCATCGAGTAATTGCAGATGCTATCCTGCTATCTGGCGTAACTCTGGGCAGACAGTAAGATGGAAAAATGGCAGAGTTGTAACCGAGAGGTTAGCTAATGCACTTTTGGCCAGTTGCTCCCTCTCTGCTCAAAGCGAAGACGCTGATGACGTCTTCGGATAATGATTTGATTGTGTGTTGTTGCTCGTGTGCACGTGCGTCACAGAGGGAGAGCGGGTGCATTTGTGAGTGCAGGTGTTTGTGTGCTTAAATTGAGAGGCTGAGTTGCTTCTATGTTTTAGTATCTGCCGACTCTGCACACAGCCGGCAGACTACAGGAACATTAGCAAAGAGCAGACATACATCCTGACTGGGTATAATGAAACTCTGTTCGCACACGCACACACACTCACATACAAGAACCATTCATCTTCCAAATCCCTTACTACTTGCTTTTATTTCCTTACAAAGACTATTCTGCATGTTGTCCTTAGCTAACAGAGGTGAAAGAGTACAGATGCTAAAGATGAACGGCACATGCAGTTCAAATATTAGGGTCTCAACATGCATCATATGAGATCTACTGTACAACCCTCAATATTTATAGGAGCTGGTGGACTAGAAATTATTTATTTTTCTCTCACAGGACTACCAGTCATTCATGGACTTACAGGAAGCAATCTTACTTGAGGCGAATTCTTGTCACTAAACAAAAATCATCATAAGAGATGTGATGGCGGCCACTCGTAGCTCATCATCCGACTTTTGAAACATGTGCTTCTTGTGTCTTCTCTCTGTGGTGTTTTTCTTCGCTCCTATTTATGGCTTTTTGCATTTCAACCTGATCCATGATGTCATCAATTTTTGATGTGTGTTTGTCTTTTAGGGGGCGAGAGTTCAGAATTCTGCCAAGAATCTGGGAGTGAGGGATCGCACACCGTCCTCAGTCCCAAGGTAAAACTGCAGCCACATCCTGTCTATGCAGGGCAACATCAGCATAGTAAACTAGAAAAGTGCACTCAGTCGAGTGCAGATCTTTGCCAGGTATGTCTGCAACAACAACTGCTACTGTTTGATTTAATAAATACAAACCACAATTTCCCTCCATGTAGCCCGCAAGGTATCAGACACCTTTCATGTGTACTTTAACTTCAACGTATGCAGCCATCTGCAGCAGCTTGGTGCAGTTAAACCGCCGTTCACTGTGTAACGCTTCCTCTGACCGGAGACAGTCAATCCTGCTCTGTTAGCTGTTAGCTCTGTTAGCCAAACCCACCGACATACAGTCATAAATGAGCACAAAAAAAATTAGACTGGTGGGTTCAGCGGTATGCGAGATTAGCCGTTTACAGACAGATAGACAAACAGACACACTAATTCACACACTCTTACCACGTAAACTTCCAAATACATAATCTCCTGGACGAGATAATTAAGGGATCTTAGCAAGATTTGCATGTTATAGTTAATTAACTACAAATCGCATGCATTACATTACTGCTGGCGTAGGGAAACGAGCAGCAAGAACGACAAAAAGCACGGTCCTATATTCTTTTATTGTGTGTCTTTCCAAGTTAAAAAACCCAGCATGTTAGAGCTTACTTGAGTGCATCATCAAGGACCTTTAAAAGCAGCCTCTTCTCTCAATTACTTACCATGTGGGAAAGCATAAAAATAAAAAATGAGTAAATAAATAAAGTGGTCTAAGTGTTCCCTGAAAGGTATACTTTTGCAAATGGTCAGCAGTTATGTATAGATATTTTCTTCCAAAACATAGAAAACTACAATACTTTCTACTATAATGTCCATCTCCCTATAGTTAGTGTAATTCAGCTTTTCAGACAGGCATGTATTTGTACAGTAGTGTTGGCCTGTGTGTGTGCTTTTTGTGCAGGACTGGGGCCAAATGGTTTTTATTAGAAGGGAGCTCCCTGCACTCAGTAGCCCCAAGATGAGGACAAGGACTGCCTCAGCCATTTGGCTGTGACGTATAGGCTTTTGTGTGACAGGCAGCCCTTTGAACCTTTTAGTGAAATTGACAAATACAATTAAGTAGCGGGATGATTAGTGTTGAGACATTGTGGTTGGAGAGCCACATTGCTGCACTCTCAGGAGGACTATGTCAGAATTGTTGCAGTGTGAGTGACTGCTGCAGAATATGGAAGTGTGTTTTGTGTATCATAAGACGTTGGCTGCTTGTTCACTGTTCTGTAGATGAAAGGAACATAAAGGAACCAGTTTAATGGGAGTTTACCCTGCAGCCATTTCTCATCCCGACTAAAATACATGAGTGGTTGGATCTATTATTCAAACTACAGAAGACAGCTGTGCTGTATTAGGATGCAAAGACATGCTATACTGAGATTTAAAAAAAAACATTGATCACTTATGGATAAAACATTAAAGCATGATCATTAAGGCAGCAGAACAGACTATATAATACTTGACTGTGAAGTGCATTGGTATGATTTTTGTATATAATGGTAATAGTAAAAAGGAATGCAGTAAACCAATATGCAGTGTGTCCTATTCTCTTACAAATGCAAACAACCAACGAATGCATAATTCATGTGGCATTTAAAATACCAAGCATATGGCTACTCTACATTTTCGAAGAAATTTGTTTTAAAAACGAATAAATAAATGTTATCAAGCTATAGTACATACAGTTTAATTGTAGCAACAACACCTGTGAAGGTAAAAGCTTTTTTTTATTTGACTGTTTGCACATTGTTAATGTTGTTTGACTTTGTAAATACTAAGGATAATTATTTGTCCATGCTGACAGTTTTCTTCATGAGACTGCAGCTTAGAATTCTGGTTCCTTGCACCAAACAAAGACCTGTCGCCTGGCGAAGTGACATTTCACAACAGATCACTGCTTTGTGTTCACGCAGGTTGTACAAGCTGTGCCAGCCTCCACCCCCGGATGGTGACCCATAATGCATTGCCTCCAGGGGACGCCGAAGTCTTGAGGAGCTTTGCGTCCCTCCCTCCACCCATGAAGGATCAACCTAATAAAAGACAGTTATTGGGTCCATTTTTATATGTCCAGAGTAGCAAGTGTAAATAGAATTTAAAAACCGTAAATAGTATTTTTAATACTTTATATTTTCCATTGTTGTACTTTATACATATTTTCAGTTTTTTTTGTTTCTTCATATACTGCATCTGACAAGACAAGGACTCGGAGTGAGAAAACGAAAGATTTATACATGAGAATGCCATTAAATTCGATGGGTCACTGTCTGATTATGGGCTGAAAATTATGTTTGCTTTCATGAGGGACATTTTCATTTCATGATCTTATTTTTATTTGCATATGAAGTATGCAAGACAATATTCATTAATAGGATTTTGGGCTTTGTTATGTGGTCAAATTAGCCAATAATTGCCTGCTTCTCTTCTGATCTGACTTCTATGCTTTATCAACTATCTCAGTATTGGATAACCATATGAATGTGTGTTTTGTTACCTTCCTCAACGTGTTTATTCACTTGTAAATATACATATGTGATGTGTGTGAATGTGCGAAAAGAGCCAATGCCGTTGATTCCCATTGTGTTTGGATTTCTACGACTGTTACATGCATGCGTGAGAAGATTTTCATCGGTTTATCAGTATTAACATACAGTAGGTTTGTGGAAGTAGAGCTATGAAATATATTCTGTTATTTTATATTGA